ACACACACCTCCACAGAGCACACACCTCCGCAGAGCTCACACCTCCACAGAGCACACAACTCCACAGAGGACACAACTCCACAGAGCTCACACCTCCACAGAGCACACACCTCCACAGGGCACACACCTCCACAGAGCTCACACCTCCACCGAACACACACCTCCACAGAACACACACCTCCACAGAACACACACCTCCACAGAGCACACACCTCCACAGAACACACACCTCCACAGAGCACACACCTCCACAGAGCACACACCTCCACAGAACACACACCTCCACAGAACACACACCTCCACAGAGCACACACCTCCACAGAGCACACACCTCCACAGAACACACACCTCCACAGAACACACACCTGCACAGAGAACACACCTCCACAGAGCACACACCTCCATAGAGCACCCACCACCACAGAGCACACACCTCCACAGAACACACACCTCCACAGAGCACACACCTCCACAGGGCACACACCTCCACAGAACACACATCTCCACAGAACACACACCTCCACAGAACACACACCTCCACAGAACACACACCTCCACAGGGCACACACCTCCACAGAACACACACTTCCACAGGGCGCACATCTGCACAGAGCACACACCTCCGCAGAACACACACCTCCACAGAGCACACACCTCCGCAGAAGACACACCTCCGCAGAACACACACCTCCACAGAGCACACACCTCCACAGAGCACACACCTCCACAGAGCACACACCTGCACAGAGCACACACCTGCACAGAACACACACCTCCACAGAGCACCCACCTCCGCAGAGCTCACACCTCCACAGAGCACACACCTCCACAGAGCACACACCTCCACAGAGCTCACACCTCCACAGAGCACACACCTCCACAGGGCACATACCTCCACAGAGCTCACACCTCCACAGAGCACACACCTCCACAGAGCACACACCTCCACAGAACACACACCTCCACAGAGCACACACCTCCACAGAGCACACACCTCCACAGAACACACACCTCCACAGAGCACACACCTCCACAGAACACACACCTCCACAGAACACACATCTCCACAGAGCACACACCTCCACAGAGCACACACCAGCACAGAACACACACCTCCACAGAGCTCACACGTCCACAGGGCGCACATCTGCACAGAGCACACACCTCCACAGAGCTCACACCTCCACAGAACACACACCTCCACAGAACACACACCTCCACAGAGCACACACCTCCACAGAGCACACACCTCCACAGAGCACACACCTCCACAGAGCACACACCTCCACAGAACACACACCTCCACAGAGCTCACACCTCCACAGAACACACACCTCCACAGGACACACACCTCCACAGAACACAGACCTCCACAGAACACACACCTCCACAGAGCTCACACCTCCACAGAGCACACACCTCCACAGAACAAACACCTCCACAGGGCACACACCTCCACAGAGCACACACCTCCACAGAACACACACCTCCACAGAGCACACACCTCCACAGAACACACACCTCCACAGAACACACACCTCCACAGAGCACACACCTCCACAGGACACACACCTCCACAGAACACACACCTCCACAGAACACACACCTGCACAGAACACACACCTCCACAGAACACACACCTCCACAGAGCACACACCTCCACAGAACTCACACCTCCACAGAGCTCACACCTTCACAGAACACACTCCTCCACAGAGCACACACCTCCACAGAACACACACCTCCACAGAGCACACACCTCCACAGAGCACACACCTCCCCAGAGCTCACACCTCCACAGAGCACACACCTCCACAGAGCACACACCTCCACAGAGCTCACACCTCCACAGAGCTCACACCTCCACAGAGCTCACACCTCCACAGAACACACACCTCCACAGAGCACACACCTCCACAGAACACACACCTCCACAGAGCTCACACCTCCACAGAGCTCACACCTCCACAGAACACACACCTCCACAGAACACACACCTCCACAGAGCACACACCTCCACAGAGCACACACCTCCACAGAACACACACCTCCACAGAGCTCACACCTCCACAGAAAACACACCTCCACAGAGCTCACACCTCCACAGAGCTCACACCTCCACAGAACACACACCTCCACAGAACACACACCTCCACAGAGCACACACCTCCACAGAGCACACACCTCCGCAGAACACACACCTCCGCAGAACACACACCTCCACAGAGCACACACCTGCACAGAGCACACACCTCCACAGAGCACACACCTCCACAGGGCACACACCTCCACAGAGCACACACCTCCTCAGAGCACACACCTCCACCGAGCACACACCTCCACAGAGCACACACCTCCACAGAGCACACACCAGCACAGAGCACACACCTCCACAGAGCACACACCTCCACAGAGCTCACACCTCCACAGAACACACACCTCCACAGAGCTCACACCTCCACAGAGCTCACACCTCCACAGAACACACACCTCCACAGAGCACACACCTCCACAGAACACACACCTCCACAGAGCACACACCTCCACAGAACACACACCTCCACAGATCACACACCTCCACAGAACACACACCTCCACAGAACACACACCTCCACAGAACACACTCCTCCATAGAGAACACACCTCCACAGAACACACACCTCCACAGAGCACACACCTCCACAGAGCACACACCTCCACAGAGCACACACCTCCACAGAGCACACACCTCCCCAGAGCTCACACCTCCACAGAGCACACACCTCCACAGAGCACACACCTCCACAGAGCTCACACCTCCACAGAGCTCACACCTCCACAGAACACACACCTCCACAGAGCACACACCTCCACAGAACACACACCTCCACAGAGCTCACACCTCCACAGAGCTCACACCTCCACAGAACACACACCTCCACAGAACACACACCTCCACAGAGCACACACCTCCACAGAGCACACACCTCCACAGAACACACACCTCCACAGAGCTCACACCTCCACAGAACACACACCTCCACAGAGCTCACACCTCCACAGAGCTCACACCTCCACAGAACACACACCTCCACAGAACACACACCTCCACAGAGCACACACCTCCACAGAGCACACACCTCCACAGAACACACACCTCCGCAGAACACACACCTCCACAGAACACACACCTGCACAGAGCACACACCTCCACAGAGCACACACCTCCACAGAGCACACACCTCCACAGGGCACACACCTCCACAGAGCACACACCTCCTCAGAGCACACACCTCCACCGAGCACACACCTCCACAGAGCACACACCTCCACAGAGCACACACCAGCACAGAGCACACACCTCCACAGAGCACACACCTCCACAGAGCTCACACCTCCACAGAACACACACCTCCACAGAGCTCACACCTCCACAGAGCTCACACCTCCACAGAACACACACCTCCACAGAGCACACACCTCCACAGAACACACACCTCCACAGAGCACACACCTCCACAGAACACACACCTCCACAGATCACACACCTCCACAGAACACACACCTCCACAGAACACACACCTCCACAGAACACACTCCTCCACAGAACACACACCTCCACAGAACACACACCTCCACAGAACACACACCTCCACAGAACACACACCTCCACAGAGCACACACCTCCACAGAACACACACCTCCACAGAACACACACCTCCACAGGGCACAAACCTCCACAGGGCACACACCTCCACAGGGCACACACCTCCACAGAGCACACACCTCCACAGAGCACACACCTCCACAGGGCACACACCTCCACAGAACACACACCTCCACAGAACACACACCTCCACAGAGCTCACACCTCCACAGAGCTCACACCTCCACAGAGCTCACACCTCCACAGAGCACACACCTCCACAGAACACACACCTCCACAGAACACACACCTCCACAGAGCACACACCTCCACAGAACACACACCTCCACAGAACACACACCTCCACAGAACACACACCTCCACAGAACACACACCTCCACAGAACACACACCTCCACAGAACACACACCTCCACAGGGCACACACCTCCACAGGGCACACACCTCCACAGAACACACACCTCCACAGAACACACACCTCCACAGAGCTCACACCTCCACAGAGCTCACACCTCCACAGAGCTCACACCTCCACAGAGCTCACACCTCCACAGAGCACACACCTCCACAGAACACACACCTCCACAGAACACACACCTCCACAGAGCACACACCTCCACAGAACACACACCTCCACAGAACACACACCTCCACAGAACACACACCTCCACAGAACACACACCTCCACAGAGCACACACCTCCACAGGGCACACACCTCCACAGAACACACACCTCCACAGAACACACACCTCCACAGAGCACACACCTCCACAGAACACACACCTCCACAGGGCACACACCTCCACAGAACACACACCTCCGCAGAGTGGGCATCTCCACAGAGCACACACCTCCACAGAACACACACCTCCACAGAACACACACCAGCACAGAGCTCACACCTCCACAGAGCACACACCTCCACAGAGCACACACCTCTGCAGAGACGCTCCTCCGCAGCATGGCCCCTCCACAGACCAGGCCTGTATCTCTGCATATTCATAGTCCCCTGTGTAACCTCTGCTCCCACCCCCTTCACCCCTAGAGCCTGCAGATGGCCCTATGCTTGGGGCTCCCTGTGGACAGAGCTACTATGGGACTTAGTGTCCGCAGACAGAGGTCCTGGACCTGCCTGTGGAGAGGTCCGAGAGGCGGCCCCAGAGCCAGGCAGGTGGACTCCCCTGGCAGGCCTCCCTCCCAAGCCTGTTTTCTTAGGTACAGGTGCGGAAGAGGACTGTGCGCTAAGCACCCGGCATGGGGTGCTGTCTGTGGTGAGGCCGGTCCTCTTGCCCTGGGGAAGGGAGCAGGGCTGACCTCCTGTGCCCCACACAGTGCTCTCAACCTACAAGACTTACCTTGGGCCCTGGGACCCCTGGCTCTCCTGGGATGCCCGTCTTCCCGGGGAGACCCTACAAAGCAAGACAGATGAGCGCCGCACCCCACTCAGCCCTGCACCCCATGGCTAAGGGGCGGAGAGGGGGATGTCAAGGGCAAGACGTCCCGGCCATCCATCCTTCAGTCCTAGGCATGCCTGGATTTGGGTAGATGAGGTTCAGATCCTGGGCCTGTGTGCGTCTGTGGGTCAGGGGGCAGCTGGCCTTGGCGTTCGGCTCAGCTCAGGGGGGAGTTGGGGGGGTGGGGAGAGCTGGCCCTGGCATTCGGCTCAGCTCAGGGGGGAGCTGGGGGGGAGGGGGGAGTCAGCCATGGAATTCGGCACAGTTCAGGGGAGAGTTGGGGGGGGGAGCTGGCTCCAGACCCCTGGCCTGGCCTGTGGGAGGGACCGGGCTTCATCTCATCGACTGAGGATGCCTGCCAGGTGAGAGCCTGCAGGTGGACAGAGCCTCCAGCCCCGCGGTATCCAGGACAGAGTCCCCTGTGTGCTTTGCCTCCCATCTGTCCAATCCCAGCCTGGCCACGGCCCCTGCACAGTGCTGAGGCCAGCGGCGCCTGCGGCCCTGCCCCAGCAGGGATGCCTGAGAAGGGTCGGATTCCGTGCCAGAGAGAGGGCAGCGCCTGCTGTAGCGGGCGGAGGCCCACACAGGGCGGAGAGGCCCGGCCAGGCTGGTCTCACGGTTGGTTGGATACCTCGGAAGCCATTGGTGAAACCGGCCCCCGGTGCAGCAGGTCTGGGGAGGGTGCTGGAGGCCTGGGCTCCTGCTGGTTAGGGGCGGGGAGGGGGCACTCTATTCCTCAGTGACAGAGAAGACCCTGACCACTCAGGAAGAAGCCACTGGACTTACCGGGGGGCCTTGGGGCCCTGGGGGTCCAGGGGTCTCTGGGGCGTGGGCGCAGGTAGAGGGGAAGGCCGGGCACACCTCTCCGCCCCTCTGGAAGAAAGGCGCTCTGCTGTGGACTCTGCCTGGCTTGGTCTGACCTCAGGGTCAGAGGTCATACAGACACCAGCCCGCACAATCCCCGAAGGCTTCGAGCGCCAGGGCTTTGCCGCCACCTACCGAGCCTGGGAGCTCGCAGCACCTGTCCTGGGCGGCCCAGGTGTCCCCACACAGGAGCTGCAGCATCTGGAGCTGGAACTGGGGGGGGGGGGCGGTCAGCTGGACGCAGGCACCACAAATAGCCCAGAAATGACCCCCGGCCCCGGGACTTACCATGGCCGAGCTGTCCTCGGGCCCCCTAGCCCCCTGCCCACCCCCGGCCCTGGGACTCAGCGTGGCCGAGCTGTCCTGGGATCCCCTGGCCCCCTGCCCACCCCCGGCCCCGGGACTCACCGTGGCCGAGCTGTCCTCGGGCCCCCTGGCCTTGGCCAGCCTCCCCAGCGTGACGAGGCCGGTGGCAGGGGTGCTGCCCGCCCCCCCGATGGGCCTCTCCGCCACCTCGCGGCAGTCCACGTACAGTCTGACCTTGGAGGGGCCCACGGCCACGTGCACCTGCACAGAGACGCCACGGGAGGTCCTGCCCAGACCAGAGCTGGGCCACGCAAAGGAGGTGTTCCCCATTGGGACTTGGGCAGTCTCCTGACCCCACCCAGACCCATGAGGCCCCGGAAGCCATCCCTGGAAGCCCAAGGTGCCTCCATAAGACAAGGCCATGGGCTGCAGAGCCTCTTGACCCAAATGAAGACAAGGCAACTTGGAGGTGGGGACCGGAGGACGCCAGTTCAAGGCTAACTCAGACAGTAACCTCTGGGAGACTCCTTATCGGCCAACGCCCAGCACGGTGGCACACACCTGCCACACCAGCACACCGGGCAGCCAGGTGGCAGGATCGAAGGCTGCACCAGCAAAGGCATGGAGTGAGACCCTGCCTCACAACCAACGCAGATGGATGGGGGTGTGGCCAAGCGGTCCAGCACCTGCCTAGCAAGGGCTGCCCCGAGGACAGTCTGGTACTGCCAGTGTTAACTTTGAAGACAGAGGTGGGAGGGTTGGAGTCCCCGGACTGACCAGCCCCTGAGGCAGAGAACATTCTAGAGCTCTGGGGCAGGCAGCTGCCTATAGGGGGGGCCGGCCAGTTGGGTTCTGAGTGGCAAGCGGGTAGTTTCAGAACCTTGTGGAAGCTTCCAAAGAAAATCTTCTTTGCCTCTGGCAGGTCGAAGGTGGCCTGCGTGGGGGACCCGGCAGCGTGGTTGAAGTAGGTCAGCGACTTCCTGCCAGCTGTGGGGGGAGGGGAGCGGGTGAGAACGGCACAGAAGGCCGAGGGCGGGTCCGCGGGAGGGGGCGGCCCTCAGTGGGGACCCCAGACCCCGCCTGTGTCTCCCTGAGGATGGGCACCACGCCCTAGCCGGCCAAGCCGGGCAAGGCCATCTCCCCAGACCACCAGGCTTGGAGTCGAGAGAGGCACCCTAGGGCCCCTCCCCCTCCCAAGGGCAGGGGGACAGTCACCGTCCAGCAGCACCCCAAGGAGGGGCCGGAAGTCCTCCGTGGTCATCTGCCACAGAGCGAAGGCTTCTCGGGGAGTCTCGGGGAGCATGCGCACAAGGAAGACGATGGTATGCTCGGGCGGGAGGGCGGGGTGGACGTCCCTGAGGACGGGGCTCCATCACCGGTCGCCAGGGGTGGCCGGGCCGGGCAGCGCTGCCCCTGCTCCAGGCCCAGCCTGGCCCTGCCCCTCAGCACTATCCATCCACCCTCAGAGCCCAGGCCTCCCTGCCTCCATTTCCAGGAATAACCAGGCGTGCGTGAAGCACAGAATCCCTCCTGGGTCACCCATTCCACAGGAAGTGTCAGGGGCCCTGGCCTGACCGCTCTGCCCCCACCTGGCCAGGGCTCCCACCGCCACGGTGCTGGCCACCAGGCCAGGGCTCGCAAGACCCCGGCAGGGCGGGGGCCTGGGCTCTCCGAGGGAAGGGGCGGAGAAAGCATATTGCACCATCTATGAAACTGGATTGCCTACAGCCTCTCCTTCTGGCCTTCATGGGCTCTTAGGATGAGAAGAGGCAGAAAGATGCTGCCCACCTCAGTCCTGTGGGAGGGCTACCTCTGCGCTTGCTCCTCTCTGCCTCCACAGGCCCACAACTCAGGCCAAGGCCCCTTTATGACAGCTACTGGATGGGGCCACGCCTGGGCCGGGGCACGCCTGGGCCAGGGCACACCTGGGCCGGGTGAACACGCCTGGGCCGGGTGAACACGCCTGGGCCAGGGCACACCTGGGCCGGGTGAGCACGCCTGGGCCGGGTGAACACGCCTGGGCCGGGTGGGCACGCCTGGGCCGGGTGGGCACGCCTGGGCCGGTGAGCACGCCTGGGCTGGGTGAACACGCCTGGGCCGGGTGAACACGCCTGGACTGGGTGAACACACCTGGCCTGGGTGAACACACCTGGCCTGGGTGAACACGCCTGGCCTGGGTGGGCACGCCTGGGCCGGGTGAACATGCCTGGGCCGGGTGAACACGCCTGGCCTGGGTGAACACGCCTGGGCCGGGTGAACACGCCTGGGCCGGGTGAGCACACCTGGGCCGGGTGAGCACGCCTGGCCTGGGTGGGCACGCCTGGGCCGGGTGAACATGCCTGGGCCGGGTGAACATGCCTGGACTGGGTGAACACGCCTGGCCTGGGTGGGCACGCCTGGGCCGGGTGAGCACACCTGGGCTGGGTGAACACCGGGCCAGGTATGCACACCTGGGAACCATCTGCCACCCCCTGGAGCCTCATAGGTGCCAGCAGCCCGCGCCCCCCACCAGGCCGTAGGGGGAACTGGGACGCTGGCATGTCTGGTACTGTCCGGTACAGCTTCACTGTGAGTGTGTCCAGTGCCTGAGTAGAGACTAGAGAAGCAGACGGGGACACCCACGACTCCTGGGCTCCAGGCTCACAGGGCCGGACCGAAAACTAAATGAGAAGATAGACTGGGGGTAGGACTTCCACAGGAGCCACACAGGCATGGGCACAAGGGCACACTGACAGAGGCGTGCGCAGCAAAGTCCAGGACCAGGAGGCGTCGTTAAACGAGATGCCATGCCAACGCCAGGCTGAGGGGAGGGCCTGAGGAGCTCAGCAGGGGACGGGGCGCCGCCACCCACACGGCCTTGTCCGGAGAAAAGACGCAGAAGGAAAAAGCTCAGCATTTCCAGTCATTGGGAAATGCACATCAAAACCAGCAGAGAGACAAAAAAGACAAAAACCACCACAGCTGGCGGATACAAGGGAGTCCCGGGCCTCCATCCGGGAAGACGGACTGACGGCCCCTCAAAACAGGAAAAAGATGCTGGGACCCTAGCTGCTCAGGAGGCTGAGATCTGTAGACCAAGGTTGAAAGCCAGACAGGAAGGGATCGTCAATGGGCGTCTTAGCGCCAATTAACCACCAAAAAGCCAGAAGTAGAGCTGTGGTTCAAGTGGCAGAGCACTACCCTTGAGAAGAAAAAAAAAACACAAGGAGAACACCCAGGCCCTGAGTTCGAGCCCCAGCACCAGCAAAAAAAAATTTTAAATGAGAACTGCAATATGAGCCAGCTATGTCACATTGAGGATGAATCCAAAAGAAATAAAATCCATTTGTTTGCAGCAGCACTGTTCCGAGATGTGGGCCCCATGAACGGATGAAGCGTGTTGTGTGCATAAACCCAACAAAACGCTGTATTGCCAGAAGAGCGAAATCTACCATTTGTAGTGCCATGGATGAACCGAGGACATTAGGGCTGGAGAGCGGACTCCGATGCCAGGCACGGGTGTAGGGGAGAGAGTGGGGGGAAGGATAGAACAGGAAGGTTGTGATACTGCACAGAAAAACAGACTTTGCCCTGCCCTGCCAAAGGAGATCAGCATGGTGTCCCACACACAGAATCCTGCAAGTGTGGGCTGGGAAGGTGGCTCAGTGGTAGAGTGCTAGCCTGGCACACATGAAGCCCTGGGTTCGATTCCTCCGTACCACATAAACAGAAAAGGCTGGAAGTGGTGCTATGGCTCAAGTGGTAGAGTCTAGCCCTGAATACAGAGAAGCTCAACGACAGTGCCCAGGCCCTGAGTTCAAGCCCCAGAATTGGAAAAAAAAAAAAATCCTGCAGGTGTGACCAGTGCCTAGGCCACATGGGAGCAGCTTCGTGTGAGTGACGCATGCCAGGGACTGGCCTCCGTCCACTCGCCAGACTGACCCGTGAAGTGCATGGGCTGAGGTCTGTCTCTGGTTTGTGAAGTGGCGTGGGGGGCCAGTCAGTCCGGGGTGGAGGTCGTGACGGGTCATAGGAGACGCGGCCAGTCTTCCCACGCCCGCCTGCATGCCTGGCCTCCCACAGCCCCCACTGCCGCCCTGGTCCCTCTGCCCGCATACCTGGCCCGCCGCGTCAGCTGTGCATCCTTGAAGAGCGTGAAGGTTGGGGCCCGGCCCCAGGCCGAGGGTCCCATGGCCACGCCCGGGGTGGAAGCATACTCCGTTGCCACCAGGCCGAAGGCCCCCATCAGGTCAAACCCTGGGGGAGACGGGGGGACAGCCAGGCACACTGTTCAGAGGGGGACAGGGGTGTGATCTGGGGGAGACGGGGGGACGGCCAGGCACACTGTTCAGAGGGGACAGGGGTGGGATCTGGGGGAGTCGGGGGGCAGGTTCACTGCTCAGAGGGGGACAGGGGTGGGATCTGGGGGAGTCGGGGGGCAGGCTCACTGCTCAGAGGGGGACAGGGGTGCGATCTGGGGGAGACGGGGGGACAGCCAGGCACACTGCTCAGAGGGGGACAGGGGTGGAATCTGGAGGAGTCGGGGGGCAGGCTCACTGCTCAGAGGGGGACAGGGGTGGGATCTGGGGGAGTCGGGGGGCAGGCTCACTGCTCAGAGGGGGACAGGGGTGGGATCTGGGGGAGTCGGGGGGCAGGCTCACTGCTCAGAGGGGGCAGGGGTGGGATCTGGGGGAGTCGGGGGGCAGGCTCACTGCTCTGAAGGGACAGGGGTGGGATCTGGGGGAGTCGGGGGGCAGGCTCATCGCTCAGAGGGGACAGGGTTGGGATCTGGGGGATTCGGGGAGCAGGCTCACTGCTCAGAGGGGACAGGGGTGGGATCTGGGGGATTCGGGGGGCAGGCTCACTGCTCAGAAGGGGGACGGGGGTGGGATCTGGGGGAGTCGGGGGGCAGGCTCACTGCTCAGAGGGGACAGGGGTGCGATCTGGGGGAGTCGGGGGGCAGGCTCACTGCTCAGGGGGACAGGGGTGGGATCTGGGGGAGTCGGGGGGCAGGCTCACTGCTCAGAGGGGACAGGGTTGGGATCTGGGGGAGTCGGGGGGCAGGCTCACTGTTCAGAGGGGACAGGGTTGGGATCTGGGGGAGTCGGGGGGCAGGCTCACTGCTCAGAGGGGGACAGGGTTGGGATCTGGGGGATTCGGGGGGCAGGCTCACTGCTCAGAGGGGACAGGGGTGGGATCTGGGGGATTCGGGGGGCAGGCTCACTGCTCAGAAGGGGGACGGGGGTGGGATCTGGGGGAGTCGGGGGGCAGGCTCACTGCTCAGGGGGACAGGGGTGCGATCTGGAGGAGTCGGGGGGCAGGCTCACTGTTCAGAGGGGACAGGGGTGGGATCTGGGGGAGTCGGGGGGCAGGCTCACTGTTCAGAGGGGACAGGGTTGGGATCTGGGGGAGTCGGGGGGCAGGCTCACTGCTCAGAGGGGGACAGGGGTGGGATCTGGGGGAGTCGGGGGGCAGGCTCACTGTTCAGAGGGGGCTGGGGTGCGATCTGGGGGAGACGGGGGGACAGCCAGGCACACTGCTCAGAGGGGGACAGGGGTGGGATCTGGAGGAGTCGGGGGGCAGGCTCACTGTTCAGAGGGGGACAGGGGTGGGATCTGGGGGAGTCGGGGGCAGGCTCACTGCTCAGAGGGGGACAGGGGTGGGATCTGTGGGAGTTGGGGGGCAGGCTCATTGTTCAGAGGGGGACAGGGGTGCGATCTGGGGGAGATGGGGGGCAGGCTCACTGCTCAGAGGCAAAGGGGGGCCTCTCTCCCCCATGAGGCAGGAGCAAGTGGCCTCCCAGCCTCGGGGCCTCGAGGCACAGGCGGTCTCCCCAGCACCTTGTGGTGAGTCCCTGACCACCACTGCCCCCGCCGGCCAGCAGGAGCCGGAGAGAAGCAGGCAAAGCACACACAACGGCCAGACATGTGCACGCCTACCTGGGAGGGTGCCGTGGGCGCTGGGGGCGTCTGGGTGCAGGACCGGACAGGCTGCTGAGAGAATCAGGGGTCACTCTGAGCCTGACCCTGCCACCAGGGAGGGCCACCTTGGAGACACCTCCTTCCCAAGGGCCTGCATCGCATCCCCGCCCCCTCCCCGCCCCCCTTCTCTCCACCCTCCAGGAGGGGACAGGATGGTGCTGCCATCCTCAGAGTCCTGGCCCAACGCGGGGGCTGCACTCCATCCCCAGAGCCCCAGAGCCCAACAGCAAGGCCAGGGGCTGCCTGGGTGATGGTCACCCTGGGGATGGGCTGGGGCTGCAGCGGGAGACGCGGGCTGGCCCGACACCGGATTCACACAGTGCACACGCAGGGGTGAGCGTGACCACGCCACGTGAAGTGCACACACAGGAGCGTGACCACGCCATGTGAAGTGCACACGCAGGAGTGTGACCACGCCACGTGAAGTGTACACACAGGAGCGTGACCACGCCACGTGAAGTGCACACGCAGGAGTGTGACCACGCCACGTGAAGTGCACACGCAGGAGCGAGCGTGACCACGCCACGTGAAGTGTACACACAGGGGTGAGCATGACCACGCCACGTGAAGTGCACACGCAGGAGCAAGTGTGACCACACCACGTGAAGTGCACATGCAGGAGCAAGTGTGACCATGCCACGTGAAGTGCACACGCAGAGGTGAACATGACCATGCCACGTGAAGTGCACACGCAGGAGCAAGCATGACCACGCCACGTGAAGTGCACACGCAGAGGTGAACATGACCATGCCACGTGAAGTGCACACGCAGGAGTGTGACCATGCCACGTGAAGTGCACACGCAGGAGTATGACCATGCCACGTGAAGTGCACACGCAGGAGCGAGCGTGACCACGCCACGTGAAGTGCACACGCAGGGGTGAGCGTGACCACGCCACGTGAAGTGCACATGCAGGGGTGAGCGTGACCACACCACGTGAAGTGCACACACGGGGGTGAGCGTGACCACGCCACGTGAAGTGCACACGCAGGAGCAAGCATGATCACGCCACGTGAAGTGCACACGCAGGAGCGTGACCATGCCACGTGAAGTGCACACGCAGAGGTGAGCGTGACCACACCACGTGAAGTGCACACGCAGGAGCGAGTGTGACCACGCCACGTGAAGTGCACACGCAGGAGCGAGTGTGACCACGCCATGTGAAGTGCACACGCAGGAGCGTGACCATGCCACGTGAAGTGCACACGCAGGAGCGTGACCATGCCACATGAAGTGCACACGCAGGAGCGAGCGTGACCACGCCACGTGAAGTGCACTAGGACAGGTCTGCTGCCTTCTGGCATCTGGTCAGGCCTGGGTTATCTGTCTGGCTCTGACATCTGCGTTCACCTACCTGTTTGGCCAGTGGCAGACACCGCTACGCTCTCCCCTGCTCTGTAGATGGCTGAGACCAGGACTCTGTATTTGGTGGCAGCCAGGAGGTCGGTGAGTATTGTGTGGTTCCTGGGGCCTGGTACAGAGATCTGTGGGGCAGGGGTCCCTGAAGCCGCCCCTTCCGGAGCATCCACTTCCTCTTGTCTGCTCCACTACCAAGGACCTCAGCAGACCAACTGGGCCACGTCATCCACTGGCCCCCAGGACCCCAGCTGGCCATTCCCCCCAGACCCAAAGACCTCTGTGGAGTGGCAGCCGCTAGCTCTTCACGGACTCACCGATTTCTCAGGTCCTGCGCCTGAGGCCGGGGCGTAGGTGAGCCGGTAGTGGAGGATGTGTCCAGCTGGGGGTGTCCAGCTGACCTGCAGGCTGTTGGGGATGTCCGAGGCCAGGGCCAGACTGGATGGAGGGCTTCTGCTCACTGCAGCTGGCCAACGGCACGGGCGGTGTGAGGCTCGGGCCCTCCAGAAAGGGGCACGCTGCAACCAGGGGACCCCCGCTGCCTCTGCCGAGAGGCGTCACCCCGGCCAGGCTCTGTCCCTCAGCCACCAGGAACGCCTGCGCCCTGTTGCTGGGTGGCCAAGTCCAGGGGTTGGGGACTCACAGAATTCAGGGTCTGGAAGAGTCTGGGTTCCCTCTGGGAATGGGGGAAGGGCCACCTACCAGGGGCATAGCGGATGGACACGGGGTCGCTGCGGGCCCCGTCCTCGTAGTAGGCCAGGATGGTGATCTCATATTCTGCATGCCTGCCCAGCCCAGGCAGGACGGCCGTGCGAAGAGTCCCTGCCACAGAGATCTGGGGAGAGGAGGGCCCGGGTGTCCTCCCGGGCCTCGCACTGGGGGACTAGCTCATGGGCCCAGGAAGTCCTGGAGATACAGGATCTGGGGATGCCCAGGGCCCGGCCCCAGCTTGTCCTGGGGATCTAGAAAGGGAGGGTCAGCCGCCCCTCTTAGCCCCTGCACCTCACGAGCCTCTCCCTCTCCCAAGGGTGTCCACTTGATGTGGTAGCCGAGCGCGCCCGGAGAGCCCACGGCCACCCAGGACAGCCTGACCGTGTCCCCTGGCAGCTCCGTCACCGACAGCTGGCTCGGGCTCGGGGCCCGCCCTGGAAGGTGGAGGGGCGGGTGGAGCCTCTGTTCCTCACACCAGTGTCGGCCCTGGCCCCGTGTGGGGGCGCCCCACACCCAGCCCGCCCGCCATGGCCACCGGACGCTGGTCCCCGTGTGGCTCAGACGTCCAGGCAGGCCGGGGGCTTGAATCGAGTCACTTCTGGCCCCAGCCTGCTCCCCAACTCACGTGTGGTCACACGGCCGGTCAGGGAGGAAGAGCCCCCCCCGAGGTACAGGCGGGTGACGCGCACGGCATACGTGGTGGAGGAGGACAGGGGCCCCAAGGCGGCTGAAGTGGCGTCCCCAGAGACCTGCGTCTGTGGGGACACGGGCAGACCCACAGACCCAAGCTGCTGCCAGGACGGAGGCCCAGGGCCCTCAACATGAGGAACCCCAGGATAACCCACGGGTGAGGCCTCCCCCCAGCCATCCACACCAAGCCCAGCCTCAGTCTCCCTGCATTGTCCACCGCGCCTGTGTGAACCCGCCCCTCCCCCAAAGCTGCACAGTGCAGCCCTGGAGCCTCAGCCCGAGGCCGGCCCACGAGGGCGCACCGGGGCCTGCTGGGGTCGGTGTGTAAACGCTGGTCCCCAGGGTCGGTGTGTAAACGCTGGGCCCCAAGGTCGGTGTGTAAACGCTGGGCCCCAAGGTCGGTGTGTAAACGCTGGGCCCCAAGGTCGGTGTGTAAACGCTGGTCCCCAGGGGTCCCAAGGTCAGTGTGTAAATGCTGGTCCCCAGGGGTCCCAAGGTCGGTGTGTAAATGCTGGTCCCCAGGGGTCCCAAGGTCGGTGTGTAAATGCTGGGCCCTGGGGGTCCCTGAGGTCGGTGTGTAAACGCTGGTCCCCAGAGGTCCCAAGGTCAGTGTGTAAATGCTGGGTCCACAGGAGTCCCCGAGGCCGGTGTGTAAATGCTGGTCCCCGGGGGCCCCTGAGGTCGGTGTGTAAATGCTGGGCCCCAGGGGTCCCCAAGGTCGGTGTATAAACGCTGGTCCCCAGGGGTCCCGAGGTCGGTGTGTAAATGCTGGTCCCCAGGGGTCCCGAGGTCGGTGTGTAAAGGCTGGGCCCCGGGGGTCCCTGAGGTCGGTGTGTAAAGGCTGGGTCCACAGGAGTCCCCGAGGTCGGTGTGTAAAGGCTGGGCCCCGGGGGTCCCGAGGCCGGTGTGTAAACGCTGGGCCCGGGGGCCCCGAGGCCGGTGTGTAAATGCTGGGTCCACAGGAGTCCCCGAGGTCGGTGTGTAAAGGCTGGGTCCACAGGAGTCCCCGAGGCCGGTGTGTAAAGGCTGGGCCCCAGGGGTCCCGAGGCCGGTGTGTAAAGGCTGGGCCCCGGGGTCCCGAGGCCGGTGTGTAAAGGCTGGGCCCCGGGGGCCCCCGAGGCCGGTGTGTAAAGGCTGGGTCCACAGGAGTCCCCGAGGTCGGTGTGTAAAGGCTGGGTCCACAGGAGTCCCCGAGGCCGGTGTGTAAAGGCTGGGTCCACAGGAGTCCCCGAGGCCGGTGTGTAAAGGCTGGGCCCCGGGGGCCCCCGAGGCCGGTGTGTAAAGGCTGGGCCCCGGGGGTCCCGAGGCCGGTGTGTAAAGGCTGGGCCCCGGGGGTCCTGAGGCCGGTGTGTAAAGGCTGGGCCCCGGGGGCCCCCGAGGCCGGTGTGTAAAGGCTGGGCCCCGGGGGCCCCCGAGGCCGGTGTGTAAAGGCTGGTCCCCGGGGGTCCCGAGGCCGGTGTGTAAAGGCTGGGCCCCGGGGTCCCGAGGTCGGTGTGTAAAGGCTGGGCCCCGGGGGCCCCGAGGCCGGTGTGTAAAGGCTGGGCCCCGGGGGCCCCGAGGCCGGTGTGTAAAGGCTGGGCCCGGGGCCCCCGAGGCCGGTGTGTAAAGGCTGGGCCCGGGGGTCCCGAGGCCGGTGTGTAAAGGCTGGGCCCGGGGGCCCCGAGGCCGGTGTGTAAAGGCTGGCCCCGGGGGCCCCGAGGCCGGTGTGTAAAGGCTGGGCCCGGGGCCCCCGAGGCCGGTGTGTAAAGGCTGGGCCCAGGGGTCCCGAGGCCGGTGTGTAAAGGCTGGGCCCGGGGCCCCCGAGGCCGGTGTGTAAAGGCTGGGCCCGGGGCCCCCGAGGCCGGTGTGTAAACGCTGGACATTGGACCGTGGCAGCTCTGGCCTCACCTGCCCCGAGTGGCCGCCGTCACTGGAAACGTAGCTGACCCTGACCAGGCGGAGGGGCCTCCGGGTGGCCTCCCAGGTCACATGGGCTGAGCGGTGGCTCACGTTCGTGAAGTTCAAGTGTCTTGTGGGTGCCAGGGCCGCTGTGGGCACGCAGCGCCTTAGCGCCCAAGCCCCAGCCCCCGTGCACACTCCGGCCGAGTGGCTGGTGTGCGGGGACCAAGGGCGGCTGCGGGGGGAGGGGACACTCACAGGTCCTGGCACGGAGGCGTCGGGCCTCGCTGACCTCCGGCCCGCGGAGGCTCTGCACAGAAACCTCGTAGCTCCTGCCTGGCTCCAGACCACCCAGCAGCACCTCCGGCCGCCCCACCTGGACCTGGGGGACGGAGCATCAAGGCTGGCGCCGCGACGCCCCCCTGGCCCCCAGCTCCCTCGCCCAGCCTCGCACCTCTCTTCTCTGCTCCTCGCCTGGGGGGGAGGCGGGCAGGCACCTCACCAGGTACTGGGCGGCCTCGGCCGAGGGCTGCCAGGTGAGGTGAAGGGTTCTGGACGTCACTGCGGCCAGGGTCAGGGCCTGGGGCGGAGGCAGGGGTGCTGGGGGGGAGGGTGACCATCAGCGGGGAGTCGGGGCACACGGCACATGCAGAAATCAAACCCACAAACACAGGGGCCCTTTCACAGGGCAAGGCCTGTGCAGTGCCTCCCGGAAATGGGGTTGGGTAAGATGGGGGACCCGTGGGGGGGAGGGGGGACCACAGGGTGCTGAGCCCCATCCCAGCCCGGCTGGAGGGAGCTAGGAGGGCCTGGATGGGGCTGGAGGGGGTTGGGGGGCTGGGGAAAGCCAGGGGGCACAGGGTGCTGAGCCCCAGCCCAGCCCGGCTGGAGGGAGCTGGGGGGCCTGGAGGGGACTGGAGGGGGCTGAAGGGGGTTGGGGGGGGGCTGAGGAAAGCCAGGGGGGCACAGGGTGCTGAGCCCCAGTCCAGCCCGGCTGGAGGGAGCTGGGGGGCCTGGAGGTGACTGGAGGGGGCTGAAGGGGGTTGGGGGGGGCTGAGGAAAGCCAGGGGGGCACAGGGTGCTGAGCCCTAGCCCAGCCTGGCTGGAGGGAGCTGGGGGGGGGGACTGGAGGGGGCTGGAGGGGGCTGAAGGGGTTGGGGGGGGCTGGGGAAAGCCAGGGGGCACAGGGTGCTGAGCCCCAGCCCAGCCTGGCTGGAGGGAGCTGGGGGGGGACTGGAGGGGGCTGGGGGGGGCTGAAGGGGGTTGGGGGGGCTGGGGAAAGCCAGGGGGGCACAGGGTGCTGAGCCCCAGCTCAATTTGGCTGAGCTTTTTAGCTCAAAGTTCTAGGAAGGCAAACCACGCTAAGAAATGAAGGTCATGGGGAACACTGGCGGGCAGGGCCTCACTAAAAGCCACACAGGGAACACGCCATCGATGAATGCCAGCGCGGCAGAGAGGTCAGAGGTTGCCAGGGCCGGGCAAGGGGCCTGGGTGAAGGTGAAGGTGTGGTTTTCTTTGGGGAACTGTGGTTTTCCTTTGGAGCTGTAACCTGTGGCCGTCCCTGGGGCTGACTGAGAACCTGGCTGGGCCGTGGTCGTGACCCATGAAGCCTGGACCCGGCTGCGTGGTATGAGCAGTGCCGGCCACAATGGAACGCCTTTGGCGTCCCGTGGAGGACACAGGCCAGCAAGCCCGGGGCGGGGCCTTGCGAGGGTCACTGTGCCCGGGCTGCCCTTGGCACTGCGCTGATGGAGCCATGCCCAGGGAGGAAGGTGGGTGCAGGCGCCCGCACCTACCTGTGGTGGCCAGGCCCTGCAGGCCCTCACCAGCCCCTCCCTCGTACACGGGGAGCACAGAGACCAGGTACTGCGTGCTGGCGGTCAGGTTGTGAAGCTCCAAGGATGAGGTGGCCCCCTCCACCAGCAGCTGGACAGAGGGCCGCGTTGGGCCAGGCCGGGCAGGTGCAGGCAGCAGGGATGCAGGACAGAGCGTAGGTTCAGGGACATAAGACACGCACCCAGGCCCAGGCATTGGACACACCCTCCCAATCCAGCCCTTCTGACAGCGAAGCCTCGGGCACCAGAGCCCACCTGCCCCCGGCCAGCACCACTGCTCCCCCTCCAGCCCCACCCATGTGTTCAAGGAACCTGCCCTTCACTCTGGCCCCCTTTGTCCACAGGACCTGGTTATCCGTGGGCTCGATTCCAGTGTTCAGCCACAGCTCACCAGACCCCGAGCGTGGCTGGCAGGGCCGCCAGCTGCCATCTGGGGTGGGTGGGGTACCGGGCTCTTACCTCCCTGGGGATGCTGCCCCTGGAAGATCGCCACACAACCAGATACTTGAGGGGAGGCTGCGGGGCCGGAGTCCAGGACAGGTGGAGGCTGGAGGAGGTGACCTGGGAGAAGTCCAGGCTGGCAGATGCAGGGAGAGGGGGCAGGGCCGACACGGGCGGAGCCTGTGTGGCTGTGGGTAGGTAGGCCACCATCAGGACCCAAGTCCCCCATGGCCACTCAGAGAAAGGAAGGAGAGCTGGCCACAGGCTAGTCCACAGCCCCGGGGGGTGGGGCAGGCTCTGCCCAGGCCCCTACCTGGGCTCCTGCCTGGTGTCCTGCCCTGGACCTTCTGGCAGATAAGGCGGCTGAGCAGGCCAGCCAAGGTGGCCAGCTGGGGGAAGTCCAGCACATTGTGGACAGTGATGTCCAGAGGCCAGGATGCCAGGAGCTTCAGTTCAGCCTCGTCCGCATTCTTCACACCTGCTTGGGGTTAAGAGGGTTAAGAGTGTGGGGCTGCCTGCCACCTGACCTTCATCCTCCTCCATCCAAACAGGATTAGGTGGGGTACCCTACCAAGCCCCCCAACATAGGAGAGGGAGGAATCAGAGCCCTTAGAGAGGGAAGCTGGAGCCAGGGTCTTCCAGCCTGTCCAGTGAACCTTGAGCCTCGTGGGGTGGTCCCACGAGGGAGGGACGTGGTCCCGGGCCACGGATACACGGCACAGTGCTCACGAGTGAGGGACGTGGTCCCGGGCCACGGATACACGGCACAGTGCTCATGAGTGAGGGACGTGGTCCCGGGCCATGGATACACGGCACAGTGCTCATGAGTGAGGGATGTAGTCCCGGGTTGGGCCATGAATACACGGCACAGTGCTCATGAGTGAGGGATGAGATCCTGGGCCACGGATACACGGCACAGTGCCCCCGAGGGAGGGACGTGGTCCCGGGCCACTTCCAAGGTCAGGTCAGAAGCCAGCAGGGTGAGGCCAGGGTGTCAGCTCTCCTGGCTGACCCAGGGCCAGGGAGACGTGGCTCACCCACAGCGAAGACGTGGACGTCCAGGTCCCTGAGGACACGGGCAGCTGTGCTCACGTCGTCCTGTGACTTGCCGTCCGTCACCACAACCACCACCTTGGCGGCCTCCGGCCGGAGACCTGCCACCCGCCGCAGGTTCCAATCCAGCACATGGGTCAGGGCGAGGCCTGGGGAGCAAGACACTGGGCGGCCTGCAGCAGCCCTGCCCCGGTGCCCTGCCCCGGTGCCCTCCTCCTGCAGCCCTGCCCCGGTGCCCTCCTCCTACAGCCCTGCCCTGGTGCCCTTCCCTGGTGCCCTGCCCCGGTGCCCTCCTCCTGCAGCCCTGCCCCGGTGCCCTCCTCCCGCAGCCCTGCCCCGGTGCCCTCCTCCTGCAGCCCTGCCCCGGTGCCCTCCTCCCGCAGCCCTGCCCCGGTGCCCTCCTCCCGCAGCCCTGCCCCGGTGCCCTGCCCCGGTGCCCTCCTCCCGCAGCCCTGCCCCGGTGCCCTCCTCCCGCAGCCCTGCCCTGGTGCCCTGCCCCGGTGCCCTCCTCCCACAGCCCTGCCCCGGTGCCCTCCTCCCACAGCCCTGCCCCGGTGCCCTCCTCCCGCAGCCCTGCCCCGGTGCCCTCCTCCCGCAGCCCTGCCCTGGTGCCCTGCCCCAGTGCCCTCCTCCCACAGCCCTGCCCCGGTGCCCTCCTCCTGCAGCCCTGCCCCGGTGCCCTCCTCCTGCAGCCCTGCCCCGGTGCCCTCCTCCCGCAGCCCTGCCCCGGTGCCCTCCTCCCGCAGCCCTGCCCCGGTGCCCTGCCCCGGTGCCCTCCTCCCGCAGCCCTGCCCCGGTGCCCTGCCCCGGTGCCCTCCTCCCGCAGCCCTGCCCTGGTGCCCTGCCCTGGTGCCCTCCTCCCACAGCCCTGCCCCGGTGCCCTCCTCCTGCAGCCCTGCCCCGGTGCCCTCCTCCCGCAGCCCTGCCCCGGTGCCCTCCTCCCGCAGCCCTGCCCCGGTGCCCTGCCCCGGTGCCCTCCTCCCGCAGCCCTGCCCCGGTGCCCTCCTCCCACAGCCCTGCCCCGGTGCCCTGCCCCGGTGCCCTCCTCCTGCAGCCCTGCCCCGGTGCCCTGCCCCAGTGCCCTCCTCCCGCAGCCCTGCCCCGGTGCCCTGCCCCGGTGCCCTCCTCCCGCAGCCCTGCCCTGGTGCCCTTCCCTGGTGCCCTCCCCCGGTGCCCTCCTCCTACCCCTTCCCCCCAGCGCCTCCTCTGAGGGCATCCGCTGCCCAGCTGGGCAGTGGGGAGGACCCAAACAAAGGCAGGGTCTGATCGGAGAGCTATTGGCTTCCTGCCAGACCCAGCCGGGCCGCGGTAAAGGAGGATGCAAACAGGGCTGGGAGTCTGCACAGCACACATGCTCAGGGCCAGGACACCGGGACGGAGGCCAGACAGGACGGAGGCCCGGCAGGACAGCCACAGGCCGCACAGGCCTACCTGTGAAGGTGTTTCCTCCCTTGTAGCGGAGGCCGCGCACGGCAGCCAGCACCTGCTCCCTGGTGCGGAAGGCACTGAGCTCCCACTCTGTCCGGGGGTCCCCGCTGTACTGTGTCAGGCCTGGGGAAAGGCGCCCGGCAGACAGGGCTGAGTGCAGCATGCAGCAGACAGGGCTGAGTGCAGCGTGCAGAATGCAGCAGACAGGGCTGAGTGCAGCGTGCGGCATGCAGCAGACAGGGCTGAGTGCAGCATGCAGCAGACAGATGAGTGCAGCATGCAGCAGACAGGGCTGAGTGCAGCAGACAGGGCTGAGTGCAGCGTGCAGCAGACAGCTGAGTGCAGCATGCAGCAGACAGGGCTGAGAGCAGCATGCAGCAGACAGGGATGAGTGCAGCTTGCAGCATGCAGCAGACAGGGATGAGTGCCGCATGCAGCAGACAGCCGAGTGCAGCATGCAGCAGACAGCTGAGTGCAGCATGCAGCAGACAGATGAGTGCAGCGTGCAGAGTACAGCAGACAGGGCTGAGTGCAGCAGACAGGGCTGAGTGCAGCGTGCAGCAGACAGCTGAGTGCAGCATGCAGCAGACAGGGCTGAGTGCAGCATGCAGCAGACAGGGCTGAGTGCAGCATGCAGCAGACAGGGCTGAGTGCAGCGTGCAGAATGCAGCAGACAGGGATGAGTGCAGCTTGCAGCATGCAGCAGACAGGGCTGAGTGCAGCATGCAGCAGACAGAGCTGAGTGCAGCATGCAGCAGACAGGGCTGAGTGCAGTGTGCAGAATGCAGCAGACAGGGATGAGTGCAGCTTGCAGCATGCAGCAGACAGGGCTGAGTGCAGCATGCAGCAGACAGGGCTGAGTGCAGCATGCAGCAGACAGGGCTGAGTGCAGCATGCAGCAGACAGGGCTGAGTGCAGCATACAGCAGACAGGGCTGAGTGCAGCATGCAGCAGACAGCTGAGTGCCGCATGCAGAATGCAGCAGACAGGGCTGAGTGCAGCATGCAGCAGACAGGGATGAGTGCAGCAGGCAGCAGACAGATGAGTGCAGCATGCAGCAGACAGGGCTGAGTGCAGCATGCAGCAGACAGCTGAGTGCAGCATGCAGCAGACAGGGCTGAGTGCAGCATACAGCAGACAGGGCTGAGTGCAGCATGCAGCAGACAGCTGAGTGCTGCATGCAGAATGCAGCAGACAGGGCTGAGTGCAGCATGCAGCAGACAGGGATGAGTGCAGCAGACAGCAGACAGATGAGTGCAGCATGCAGCAGACAGGGCTGAGTGCAGCATGCAGCAGACAGGGATGAGTGCAGCAGACAGCAGACAGATGAGTGCAGCATGCAGCAGACAGGGCTGAGTGCAGCATGCAGCAGACAGGGATGAGTGCAGCAGACAGCAGACAGATGAGTGCAACGTGCAGAGTACAGCAGACAGGGCTGAGTGCAGCATGCAGCAGACAGGGCTGAGTGCAGCATGCAGCAGACAGGGCTGAGTGCAGCATGCAGCAGACAGGGCTGAGTGCAGCATGCAGCAGACAGGGCTGAGTGCAGCAGACAGGGCTGAGTGCAGCATGCAGCAGACAGGGCTGAGTGCAGCAGACAGCAGACAAGGTGGCATGCAGTGTGTCCACATGGCCCCATCCTGACCACGGCCAGACCACAGCCTGGCCGAGCCCTGACCGTGGCCCGTGTGGACTGCTAGAGTTCTGGACAGATGGCGGCTCCTCCCACAGACACAGCTGCAGGCCCAGAGCTGACGCAGAAGCCTCCAGAAGCCTCTGGAGTTGGTCCAGGAGACCAGCTCGGCAGCTGCAGCTGGCACAGGGCTGGCATGAGCCACTCAGAGCAGGTGCCCGGTGGCCCTCCCGAGGGAGCCCCAGGGACGAGGCCCAGCCCACAGAGGGGCAGCAGGGGGCAGAGCTCACCTACTTGGACTTTGTCAGGCCCAATCTCAAAGGGTTCGATGACACTGGTCAGGAAGTCTTTGACCTGCTGGAAGTGGCTGTGGCCGACGCTCCAGGACCCATCCACCAGGAAGACCATGTCCGTGGGAACGGGGGGTGTGCAGCGGAAGTAGGGGCCAGCTAGGAGCAGGAGGGGGTGGGTGAGGCCTGTAGCCTCCATGGACCCCGAGCGTGTGGGCTTGGCTGTGGCCTCCCCTCCAACGAGGAAACAGCAGGGATTTTGAGGACCTTGGGTCTGACCAGACTTGGAAGATCTCACAGAACGCTGGTCAGCGGCAGTGCATCTAAGACCTCCCCAAAGAGAGCTAATGGCCTCAGTGGCCGCCCTACCCTCCAAGGTCCTGCCAGCCGCTACTGTGCGGTACCTCAGCTGAGGGGCTCTGAAGCCCAGGCTGCCCATCCAGCTGCCCCTGGGTCCCCGCCTGGACTGGGGCAGGTCAGCACTTCCCACAACGCCATCTCCTCTGGAGATGCAAGGCCGGCGGCTCCAGCCTTCCTGACAGCGCTGGTGGCTGAGCCCCAGAGCCAGGCTGGCCCTGGGGCTGCCTGGCCCGGCCAGCACGGTGACACCTCTGCGGCGGGCAGACTGGTGGTGGTGGCCCCCGCCGTGGGCCCGAGTTCCGGGCACAGGGTCTGCACCAAGGCACTCCTGAGCTGTTGGGAGACGGGCAGGGCCCTCCCCCTGAGGACACTGAAGGTCACAGACAGCCCTGGGCCCACCGCAGAGCCGCCCCACGCACCCCACGCACCCGGCCTCCCCCTCCTGCCGGTGGAGGCTGGGTCGTGGCTCCGGCTCTCCAGGTCTGGAGCAGGGCCCTGGGACTGGCTCTGCTTCCGGCTCCTGACCCACACTGCGCACTCCTGCGGGAGGACACAGCCCACCCGCACCTCAGCACCCGGGCTGGCCAGGCGGCCGCCTCCGGTGCCCAGGCTGGAGTGAATCCAGGCACTCAATGGGCGAGCTTCAGTTAAAGCTAGACCATACAGTCAGGAGGAGAATTCCGGATGCAGGGTGGGCCATGGGCCACGCATGCTCCCTTCCCCAGGGCTCACTTTCTCTTGGCTTGGGCGGATGAACAGTGGGTAGGTTTAGTGGTGAAGCGAAAGTGACGCTGGGCTGAGGAGCTGGCTCCGGAGTCGGCTCGAGGTCTGGGCCCCCCAGAGAAGGGCTGGGCTCCAGGGCGGGTCCTGCAGGCCTCCGGCTGCTCCTGCCCGGGGAGTTCCTCTTCAGAGCGTCGACTGCAGAGAGAAGGGCTATCAGGGTCCTCTGCGGAGGCGCAGAGGGCCTGGGTGGAGGCCATGCACACCAGCCTCCGAGGAGGACACTGCCGTGGGCCCCAGGAACTGTCCCCGGGAAGTGGGCAGGTGACAAGACCCCAAGACATCTTGTGGGCAAGCTGGGACCTGACCCAGGGCCTGGGATGAATCCAGGGGCATTTCTCCCTCGCCCCCCACCCAGCCTGGACCAGCAGGGGACAGCAGACTTACTCACAAAATCCCTTTGCACCAGCAGCATAGGCCCAGAGCCCGTGAGCTCGAAGATCTGCAGCGTGTAGCCCTTGGAGGGACTCAGGCCTCCCACAGTGGCCTTCGGGGTCTTGGTGGTCAGCATGACCTCCTGCTCCGAGTCCCCTGGGTGGAGGTGGGAGAGCGGAGGGTGCTGTCCACTGAGTGTGAACGTGCGTGCACACGTGTTCACTCGCATGTCTTCATAGAGCACACCACACGTCTGTGATGTGTGCTTGTGTAGCCACGTGTTCTCTGCATACATGTGTGAGGTAGATGTGTTTGTGCGAGCATGCATACACATGTGCTGTATCTGCTCACTTGACTGTGGTCCTCTGAGCACTGGTGTGCATGTGTGCGCACACATGCCTGTGGTGTGTGCTTACGTATCTCCGTGCCTTGAGAGTGCATGCGTGGGTGATAAATGGTGTCCGTGTGTGTGTACATACACACTGATTCTCACATCTGTGTGGGAGCATCGTGGGGTGTGTGCTCATAGTCTTCTGGCTGTGTCTGTGCCTTGTGTGACCGTGTGTGCCTGCATCCATGTGCTGTGTTCTCATGCGTGTGGGGGCATGTGCACATAGGGTAGGATGCCCTGCAGGTCTCCCTGGAGGCCACGGAAGAGGAGGGGTGAGGACCGGTGGGAGGTGGGGATGACTGGCTCTCCCGGGAACTTTCAGGAAGGAAAAGGGCTGCACTGCCCGCAGAGCCCTCCAGGGACCCCGCCTCCCCCCGCACCCACATGGCCCGCTGGGGGCCCACTACAGACAGAGCTGGATTTCAGCGTTAAACACAAACCGCTCCAAAGAGGGCCCTGTGCTGCTCCAGAAGTCAGAGCCAGGAGCAGCCTGGCATGAGCTGGCGAGATGCAGGCAGCACCGCAGAGGCACACCGGAGCCTCGGCCTCAAGCAGCAGGAGGGGAGTCACACTCGCCCCTTGGAGGAAAGCAGCCTGTGCTGACCCCAGCTCAGCTCCCCTCCCTGACCCACCCCTGGGGCTGACGCTTGTGCTCCTGAGCACACGGGGTAGAACAGGCAAGAGGGCACCTTGCTGTACTGACGGCTAACTTGGCTTTCTTTGGTCTGGGATTCAGACAGGGTCTTGTAGCCCAGGCTGGCCTGGGCTCACCATCCTGCTCCACCTTCTGAGTGCAGGGATTACAGGTGGCCCCACCACAGCCACAGTTGGCTTTTGGGGGCATTGGCCATGTGACTGACACCCCTCCCGTCCTCTCCAAGCGTGGTTGTGACTGCACAGAGAAGATGCTCCCCGCCAGCCACGGTGCAGCTGCCTGCAGCGGCTGTGGCATAGCTGTCCTCGCTCTGGGTCCACAGTCAGACCGCAGGCAGCAGAGCTACTCTTCCCACGCCCGACGCGGCCCCAAGGCACAGTTTCCCCCAGGTCTGCCACCTGTGCAGGGCTGGGGCGGGGGAGATGCGCTCAGCTGACCCTGGTATTTATTTACTCAGCAAGCTGGCCTTGCTCAAATCCTTCTTTGATGTGTGGGCACCATCACAATTTGTAGGCAGCATCCCTTTCACATCTAGGAAATCCACACACTGTTGGGAGGTGAGCAAGCCCAGGGGAGGCCGACTGGGGTGCCATCATGGACGGGTTTCAGGAGAGGGTCAATTGGGGTGCCGTCATGGTGGTTGCTCCTGAGTAGGAGGATGTAGCCCTGTTTTCTCTCTGCACTGCACACACTGCAGGCCCTTGTTACATGCCCAGCCTCTAGAACCATGAGCCAAGTGAGCTACTCTCACCATTCTAGAAGCAGAAAACAAAGTAGGACGCGAGTCCTGCCGTGTGCTGTGTGAAATGTCCCACGACCGTCAGGATGGATGCAGCACCCCGTGGAGGTGGGGTGCTCTGGGCGGGGGCAGCTCCAGGTGCAGAGCAGCCAGGGTGTGAGTGTGCACGCGCGCGCACGCACGCACGCACGCACACGCGCAGTCCCCAGGGTGCCACTAAGCCGCAGGGCCGCAGGCCCGGGGCACGCGGCCGGCAATCGAGGGAAAGGGGACGACGGCTGTTGAGGGAGACGGCCTGTGGACTCGGCCGGGCACCGCGGCCATGCCCGGCACCGGAGCCCAGCGCCTGCCTGAGGCGCACGCGCACTGAGCACCCTCGCCGCCTGCGACCCGCGCATGCGTCCTGCGACCCGTCGCGCATGCGTCCTGGGCACCTCCGCCTGCGACCCTCCGCCTGAGGCGCACGCGTGCTGAGCACCTCTGCCTGCGACCCTCCTCCTGAGGCGCATGCGTGCTGAGCACCCTCTCCTGAGGCACATGCGTGCTGAGCACCCTCCCTGCCTGGGACCCTCTCCCCTGAGGCGCACGCGTGCTGAGCACCCGCTCCCCCGAGGCGCATGCGTGCTGAGCGCACGATCCACACGTCACCTGCTGGAGCCCCGCTGGGAGGCGCGGCCCTGCCACGTGTCCACCGCTGGGAGGCGCGGCCCTGCCACGTGTCCACCGCTGGGAGGCGCGGCCCTGCCACGTGTCCACCGCTGGGAGGCGCGGCCCTGCCACGTGCCCCGGGTGGGGCGGGTGACGCCCCAGTCTGCACGTGGAGGTGCTGGCCTGGGGGGCGGGAGCTGAAGAGGAGGAAGGCGCAGTGCCCTTACCGGCCATGGGCTTCACCTGGACGCGGTAGCCGCGGCCGCTGGCCTCCGACTCGCTCCACTGCATCTGCAGCCGGTCCTCGGGCAGCACGGCCAGCCGCAGGCGGCCCCTCGCTGCAGAGAGGACGGCGGGTCAGCACAGACCCCGTCCACCGAGCGCCCTGAGGACGCCCCGGCCGCGGGGAAGCTAGCCGGGAGCGGCGTCCGCTGCCACCCCCGCGGCGCAGGGGAATGGATCTGAGGACCACGGTTCAAAGCCAGCCCTGGGCGCTCCAACCAACCACAAAGGGCTGGACGTGGAGCTGGGCTCAGCCTTGAGTAAAGAGAGCGAAGGGACAGCGCCCAGGCCCACCCCTAAATCACCCCCAGCCAGGGTCAAGACGGTGCCCTCGGGAGCCCTCGCCGTCCCCGAGGCTCAGAGCTGCCCACCCGCCCTGGCGAGGCCGCTGGCCGCTTCCCTGCTTCAGACTCGTCACGGAAGTCACAGCACAGCGTGGCCCGCAGGCCCCGCCGCCCGTGAGCCCCTGCGGGTGAGCGGCCCTCCAGGAGGCCCGCAAAGCACCCCATGGAAGCCTTGGCCGAGCACGTTGGCCGCCACCAAATGCAGTGTCCGCGCGTGCCCGTGGGCCGGCAGCCTCAGCGCTCACGCTGGGCCACTCCCGCGGCGGAGGAGGGTGCGGCCCGGGCTGGCCTCCGAAGCTTCCGGGCCGTGGTGTGAAGGGCTGCTTGTGGAAAAGGAGGGCAGAGATGGCTTCATTGTAATGGGATACAGCCGGCCACAGCCAAGCGGGCCCGGGGCAGACACAAGGGTCCATTCAGAGTGGGGCGCACTCGAAGCATCTCCAGATGCGTCCCGCTGCCTGGGGGTGCCCACTGACAGGCAGGACTGTGTGGGGGCGGTGGGGCGCTGGAAAGCCAGCTGTGGGGGTCCCTCTCCTGCCCATGAGGAGCCTTCTGTTCCCCTGCCCTTGCCTCGTCAGGGTTCCCTCAGCTCACCCCGGTACAGGGACAGCGGAGGACGGGAGGGGTGAGGTCAGGGGCTGTGGTCAGCAGAGGACGGGAGGGGCTGTGGTCAGCAGAGGACGGGAGGGGTGAGGTCAGGGGCTGTGGTCAGCAGAGGACGGGAGGGGTGAGGTCAGCAGAGGATGGGAGGGGTGAGGTCAGGGGCTGTGGACAGCAGAGGATGGGAGGGGTGAGAAGATCAGGGGCTGTGGACAGCAGAGGACGGGAGGGGTGAGGTGGTCAGGGGCTGTGGACAGCAGAGGACGGAAGGGGTGAGAAGATCAGGGGCTGTGGACAGCAGAGGACGGGAGGGGTGAGGTGGTCAGGAGCTGTGGTCAGCGGAGGACGGGAGGGGTGAGGTCAGGGGCTGTGGACAGCAGAGGACGGGAGGGGTGAGGTCAGGGGCTGTGGTCAGCAGAGGACGGGAGGGGTGAGAAGATCAGGGGCTGTGGACAGCAGAGGACGGGAGGGGTGAGGTGGTCAGGGGCTGTGGTCAGCAGAGGACGGGAGGGGTGAGGTCAGGAGCTGTGGTCAGCAGAGGACAGGAGGAGTGAGGTGGTCAGGGGCTGTGGTCAGCAGAGGACGGGAGGGGTGAGGTCAGGAGCTGTGGTCAGCAGAGGACGGGAGGGGTGAGGTCAGGGGCTGTGGTCAGCAGAGGACGGGAGGGGTGAGGTGGTCAGGGGGCTGTGGTCAGCAGAGGACGGGAGGGGTGAGGTCAGGGGCTGTGGACAGCAGAGGACGGGAGGGGTGAGGTGGTCAGGGGGCTGTGGTCAGCAGAGGACGGGAGGGGTGAGGTCAGGGGCTGTGGTCAGCAGAGGACGGGAGGGGTGAGGTGGTCAGGAGCTGTGGACAGCGGAGGACGGGAGGGGTGAGGTGGTCAGGAGCTGTGGTCAGCAGAGGACGGGAGGGGTGAGGTCAGCAGAGGACGGGAGGGGTGAGGTCAGGGGCTGTGGTCAGCAGAGGACGGGAGGGGTGAGGTGATCAGGGGCTGTGGTCAGCAGAGGACGGGAGGGGTGAGAAGATCAGGGGCTGTGGACAGCAGAGGACGGGAGGGGTGAGGTGGTCGGGCTGTGGTCAGCAGAGGACAGGAGGGGTGAGGTGGTCAGGGGCTGTGGTCAGCAGAGGACGGGAGGGGTGAGGTCAGGAGCTGTGGTCAGCAGAGGACGGGAGGGGTGAGGTCAGGGGCTGTGGTCAGCAGAGGACGGGAGGGGTGAGGTGGTCAGGGGACTGTGGTCAGCAGAGGATGGGAGGGGTGAGGTCAGGGGCTGTGGACAGCAGAGGATGGGAGGGGTGAGGTGGTCAGGGGCTGTGGACAGCAGAGGACGGGAGGGGTGAGGTGGTCAGGGGGCTGTGGTCAGCAGAGGACGGGAGGGGTGAGGTCAGGGGCTGTGGACAGCAGAGGATGGGAGGGGTGAGGTGGTCAGGAGCTGTGGTCAGCAGAGGACGGGAGGGGTGAGGTGGTCAGGGGGCTGTGGTCAGCAGAGGACGGGAGGGGTGATGTCAGGGGCTGTGGACAGCAGAGGATGGGAGGGGTGAGGTGGTCAGGGGCTGTGGACAGCAGAGGACGGGAGGGGTGAGGTCAGGGGCTGTGGTCAGCAGAGGATGGGAGGGGTGAGAAGATCAGGGGCTGTGGTCAGCAGAGGACGGGAGGGGTGAGGTCAGGGGCTGTGGTCAGCAGAGGACGGGAGGGGTGAGGTGGTCAGGGGCTGTGGTCAGCAGAGGACAGGAGGGGTGAGGTCAGGGGCTGTGGTCAGCAGAGGACAGGAGGGGTGAGGTCAGGGGCTGTGGACAGCAGAGGACGGGAGGGGTGAGGTCAGGGGCTGTGGTCAGCAGAGGACGGGAGGGGTGAGGTCAGGGGCTGTGGTCAGCAGAGGACGGGAGGGGTGAGGTGGTCAGGGGCTGTGGTCAGCAGAGTACGGGAGGGGTGAGGTCAGGGGCTGTGGTCAGCAGAGGACGGGAGGGGTGAGGTGGTCAGGGGCTGTGGTCAGCAGAGGACGGGAGGGGTGAGGTGGTCAGGGGCTGTGGTCAGCAGAGGACGGGAGGGGTGAGGTCAGGGGCTGTGGTCAGCAGAGGACGGGAGGGGTGAGGTCAGGGGCTGTGGTCAGCAGAGGACGGGAGGGATGAGGTGGTCAGGGGGTGGGGCGTGCTGTGGGTGGCAGGGATCCTAACTTGGAGGTCACCAGCCTTCCGTGGTGCCCAGAAGGCAGATGCAGACAGGAACAAGTAGTGGACACCACTGTAGAGTGACAGGTGCCAGGAGAGGCATGGGCTGCCTGGCCCAGGAAGCAGTGTAGGGCATGAATGGGGCCTTGAGGGACCCAGGGAACGCCGGAACTTGCCTTCCAGGAATCTGCCTGGGCCAGCAGGGAGGGCCTGGCACAGAGCCCTGCGTCCGTGCATGCCCCTCTGCTCACAGAGGACAGAGGGCCTTTCTTTCTGGGGAGGCAGCCCTCAGTCCAGTTAAACCCTGACTACACTGCGGGACCGGGCTGGAGGGGAGCGGGGGGGGGTGGGGGGGGGGGTGATGGAACGCCTCTCTTCACGCCAGATGTGTGCTGCCTGAAATTGTAAGGCCTTTGTGGAATGATTAAGGGAAACACTCAATGGAGAGTTAAATGAAGAGTATGTGGCCAGCCTGCACAGAAGCACAGAGCACACAAAAGCTTATGAAGCAAGGCTGAAAGACTACAAGACCAAAGGCCAGAGGCCAGAGGTCAAGGCCAAAGCAGAGGACTGGCCGAGAAGCCCTTCCTGCTTCAGGTCTGTTGTCACCAGGGCTCTTAAGCAGATCTCCCTTCGTGGGGAAAGGGCCGTGAGGGGAGGTGGGGGGCAGTGGCCAGGCCTGCCAGAGGTGCGTGCACGTCCCCAGGCTCCACTCCTTACCTCGCCCTTGCCCGCGGGCCAGGGTGATGCTCAGCCACATCCACGCCCACAGGCAGAGGCGGGACACTCCCGGGCTCATGGCGTCTAGCCTGAGGGAAGAGGTCGTGCTTCGTGACAACAGGCCAGGGCCCTGGGCCCCCGGGCCAGCGTGGCAGAGCAGGCCTGCTCCCAAGAGGCCACGAGCAAGAGAGGCCTCGTAGTACACAGCAGTCGCTGCCAGCCTCAGCCTGCGCTCAAGGCAGAACTGACGCCAGACCCAGTTCAGGTGACACAGGGTGGGTCCGGGGCACCCTGGCCAGGCAGGAACGGGCTGCGGCCATGCCGACTGGAGATAACCAGAGTGCACCACCTGCCATCCGTCCCCAGCACTGAGAGCCCTGTGCAGGCGAGTTGTGCCTCCAGACAAGGCCCAGCTCTGCCCCTGCCCCTTGCTTACCCAGGACAGCTGAGGACGGAAGGGGCATCCCCGAGTCCTCCCCAGTGGCCTGAGGGACCCGAGCCCCTCTCCTGGAGGCCCCCCTCATTGCACAAGCCCAGGCCTCCAGCAGTGGCTTGCTGGGAAACACACCCTCTGCCCCCACCACGTACCTGCCCCCTTCCACACTGAAGCGAGGCTCCAGTACTGAGGCTCAGGCAGCCTCGGGGAGGTGGCCGTGGGCTGAGGACCTGTGACCGGGAAGCACAGGCCACGTGAGAGCCCTCCCAGAGCATGGCCCTTCTCCATCTGCCCACCGAAGCCAGACTGTTGCTACCACCGGTGAAGGGGTCAGTACAAAGCCCCTTTCTGCTGGACCTCCCCCCCCTGCAGGCCCCGAGCCTGCGGCCGTGGCTCCAGCGTGCCCAGCTTCACCTGGCTGCACCCAGGGACAGCGCCCATCAGGGCGGCCCTGTCAGACCTGAGGTTCCCTTGGGGCCCAGGGCCGCAGGCACCGCACCCACCTCCTGCTCCACAGGCAGCGTCCCTTGTTCCTCAGGGCCATCTGGTTCCATCTGCTGGATGTGGCCACGTGAAGTATGAAGCTTATGAAAGGCTCTCTCTCTTAATGTCACCGCCCCCCTTCACTCCGCCTGCTGGCATCTGGGGCACCCAGATGGGAACAGCAGTGACACACGCCCCACCACCACACATACACAGGCAGGGGTCCTGCCAGGCAAGGAAGCTGAGGAGACACAGCCAATCATCCCCATCCCGTCTCAGAGACACTTGGGGCAGACAGTGTGGCTCTCGGCAGAGCCGGGGGGCGGGGGGCGCGGGGAGGTCCAGGGCAGCAGCCACCGGCTCAGGGCACCTCTGCTTTCCCCCAAGACCCTGTAACTGCACTCCTCAGGCTCAAGCCCACACTGCCTCCTGCACAACTCCCATGTGCTTGGCCCAGTGGTCTGGCTCTTGCTGGTTCCCACAGGCCAGATCCATGGGTGAGGACCCCCCCTCCCCCAGACAAGGCTGTCCTGCAGGTCCCCACGGACCTCATTGCTGGGCAGCCTGTCTTCCTGTCCTGGGCTCATCCACAGATCTTTACATTTCTTTATTTGGTTGGTTGTAGGGCTTGAACTCTGGGCCCGGGTGCTGTCCCTCAGCCTTTCAGCTCAAGGCAAATGCTCTACCACTTGAGCCACAGCACCACTTCCAGTTTTCTGGTGGTTTATTGGAGATAAGAGTTTCATGGCCTTTCCTGCCCAGGCTGGCTTTGAACCGCGATCCTCAGATCTCAGGCTCCTCAGTAGCTAGGATGACAGGTGTGAGCCACCGGTGCCCAGCTCCATAGAGATCTTGAGAGCTACTTCCTTCTCTACTCCAGTCCCCATCCCCTGGGGAAAGGCAGGCTGCTACCTGGCACAGAGGACCCTCGTGATGCCATCCGACCATAGGACACCTGGAAGTCACCTGCAGCCCAGGCTGCCAACCACTGGCAGCCCACGCAAGGGAAGCTGCGGCCTGTGTCCCTGGACCCTATCCGGCCTTGCGTCGAGACCTAGCAGGGTCCACAGCCCTGCAGATGGGTGCTGCTGAACTAGACCAGCCCCCCTTGCACCCCCACTGGGGCTGGGAAACTCAGCAGCAGGTGTTTGTGTTTCATCTGCATGCCAGCAGTCCCGGCTCACCCGAGGACACCTGGAAGGAACACACAAGTCCTTACTCAGCAGTGGATCACAGCCCAGAGGTGCGGGACAGGACCTGTGGGGCCATGGACCCCATGGTGAGGCCCATCCTGCCAGCTGCTGCCAGTGGACAGACCCGGGTAGAAGTGGCATGGGTGAAGGGCATCCTGAGGGCAGCCAGGTGGGGCGTAGGGAGTTTTACAAAAGAAGATTCAGCTGGGCACCAGTGGCTCACGCCTGTCATCCTAGCTACTCAGGAGGCTGAGATCAAAGATCGCAGTTCAAAGCCAGCCCAGGCAGGAAAGTCCGTGAGACTCTTACCTCCAATAAATCACTCAAAAACCGGCAGTGGCGGCGCTGTGACTCAAGCAGTAGAGTGCTCGCCTTGAGCTGAAGAGTACAGGGACAGTGCCTAAGACTAGAGTTGAAGCCCCCTGACCAACAAAAGGAAGGAAGGGAGGAAGGAAGGGAGGGAGGGAGGGAAGGAGGAAGGGAGGGAGAAAGAAGCCAGGTGCCAGTGGCTCACGCCTGTAATCCTAGCTATTCAGGAGGCTATCTGAGGATCGCAGTTCAAAGCCAGCCCAGGCAGGAAAGTCCATGAGACTCTTATTTCCAATAAACCACCAGAAAACCAGAAGTGGTGCTGTGGCTCAAGTGGTAGAGCGCTAGCCTTGAGCTGAAGAGCTGAGGGACAGCGCCCGGGCCCAGAGTTCAAGCCCCATGGCTGACAGGAAGAAGGAAGGAAGGAAGGAAGGAAGGAAGGAAGGAAGGAAGGAAGGAAGGAAGGAAGGAAGGAAGGAAGGAAGGAGGGAAGGTTGGTTCACGGCTGGAGCAAACCAGAGGCTGGCTTCAGAAACGGCCATCTCTAGTGGTCAGCTGGCCTCAGGAGCTAGCCCATAGGTTAGAACCTCCTCCATGCTTACCCCCGACCCCTCACTCCAGGGCCCCCAATCACCCAGGGCCCGGGACACCACCTTTGTGTTGAATGGCTGCTCCGGGGCCAGACCATCTGAAGAGGGCCCGGCCCACACACCCACATCCCTGTCCTCTGGGGTGAGGAACGGGTCCAGCCTGGGCATGGAGGTCTGCAGAAGGGCGTCCTGCTCAGCTGGGGGATGCAGGATGCTGTGCACTCAGGTCCCAGAACCCACTCCTACTCCACACCCTGCTCCACCTCCAAGGCTGTCAGGTTTCTTGGAGCAGCAACACCCCTTGTTAAGGGGCCTCAACCCCTTGCTGGCTACTTCATCTGGAGGATCTGGCTTACACAGAGATAGGCCTTGAATTCAGGGGTGAAGGGCAATAAATCTCATTGGTGCTGGGACACAAAGAAAAATCCTTGTGAAGCTGGGCACTGGTGGCTCACGCCTGTCATCGTAACTACTCAGGAAGCTGAGACCTGAGGATCGCAGTTCAAAGCCAGCCCGGGCAGGAAAGGCCATGAGACTCTATCTCCAATAAACCATTCAGAAAACCATAGTGGTGCTGTAGCTCAAGTGGTAGAGCGCTAGCCTTGAGCTGAAAGCCCCACAGCTGACCAAAGAAAAAGAAAAAAGAAAAACCCCGAGAGAAAGACACATACATACAGTGAAGGCCTGCCCGGGGTTGCAGACGGACCTCGGCGTGCCTGCCCTTCCTGCCTGGAACACCCTGGCCCTGGCCAGCCGCAGGGAACACACCTCAGAGGACTGAGCTCCTACTGTCCCAGGGAGAGGACTGGGGGTCCCCAGGTGCACAGAGCCCCTCCTGTCCCGGGGGGGCCCCCGGATGGACAGAGCCCCTCCTGTCCCCAGGTGCACAGAGCCCCTCCTGTCCCCAGGTGCACAGAGCCCCTCCTGTCCCCAGGTGCACAGAGCCCCTCCTGTCCCCAGGTGCACAGACCCCTCCTGTCCCGGGGGGGGTCCCCAGATAGAGCCCCTCCTGTCCCAGGGGGCCCCCAGATAGAGCCCCTCCTGTCCCGGGGGGGTCCCCAGATGGACAGAGCCCCTCCTGCCCCAGGGGGGTCCACAGATAGACAGAGCCCCTCCTGTCCCAGGGAGTCCCCAGATGGACAGAGGCCCTCCTGTCCCAGGGGGTCCCCAGGTGGACAGAGCCCCGCCTGTCCCAGGGGGATCCCCAGGTAGACAGAGCCCCTCCTGTCTCCAGGTGGACAGAGCCCCTCCTGTCCCAGGGGGAGGACTGCGGGCCCTAGGTAGAGACTAAAGGCAGCGGCTGGCTGCGGCAGGTGTGGGCGCTGTCACACACAAAGAACACAGGAGCTTCAGTTCATGCACTGCTGGTCAAACTGAGGATTGGAAAAGGAGTGGGTGTGGGGGTCAGAGGCCCAGCCGTGCCCCCAGCATTCCAGGCGGCTCTGCCCCCAACTCTGGGAGGGAAGCATCTCATCTGCAGGGCACCAGGCTCCACAAGTCCACCAAGCAGGCTGGCACAGCACGCTCTTCACACAGTCACTGGTTAAAAGTGGGAGGCTCCAGGAGGGCCACTGACACTCAATGCCCATGGATGGGGCCGGGCCTGAGGGACAGAGCAACGGAGCAGTGGCATGCCCAGGATGCTCAGCGGCCCTGAACCTCCAAAGTCCAGCTGTGCAGACACAACACACAGCAAAATGTCCAACAAACTGCCCCTCCTGGACAGTGTCCCCACAAGGTGCTGTCCTGACCCTGGCCGCGACACAGGCCCTGCCTGCTGATGCCCAGCCTCCCACATCAGCCCCTGTACAAGGGGACAGACATCGCTAGCCCACCACATCAGGCCCCCTGACAAGGAGTGGAAGGGGACAGACAACCCCAGCCCCCCACATCAGCCCCTGTACAGGGAGTGGGAGGGGACAGACATCTCCCCGCCCCCCACATCAGCCCCTGTACAGGGAGTGGGAGGGGACAGACGTCTCCCCGCCCCTCCCAGTGGCTCTCCTTTCATCCCTGAGCTGTCCAGCATGTCCGGGAGGGATAAGCTCAAAGTGGAGACTGGAGATAGAGCCTCGTGGCTGTATGGGGCCATGGGGGGCGGGGGGCGTCCTGTGGGTTGGACGGCAGGCAGCTCCGGAGATGCAGGAGGGTCATCATGGCGGGCGATTCACAGCACAGGCCACAAGGAGACGTGGACTGGGAGGGGCGTTGGGTGGCAGTACGAGCTCCAGTATCACTTTCGGTGTTTCTTGTAAGATTCCAGGTTTCTTCACACAGAAAAACTAGAGCAAACCCTTAGTGTTCCACGTCAACTGCGCGGGTGACGTCGGGCCTTGCTGACAGCGGCCCCCACAGCAGCCTGGTCCCACGCGGACAGCGCGGCGGCGGGCGCCCCGCGGGGCCCTGGGGCACCACCGCACACCTGAGTCCTGCCTGTCTTCTCACCGAGGTCGCTGTTTTTGGATTAATGGGAAGAGGAACAACAAGGGCAAAGTGCAAACAGACCAGTCGCCCCAATGGCTGGGCCGGGCAGACGGGGCCCTACCAGTTCTGGTTGTCCCAGCCCTCGTCGGCAGCTGTGGACGGCGCGGCCGGCTTGCTGGCCTTGGCCCTGCCCTCCCCGCTGGGCTCCCAGCTCTCCCAGCCGTCGCTGTTGCTGTTCTTGTTGTTGGACGCAGAGCCCGAGCCCCACACCTCCCAGCTGTCTGAGCTCCTCCGCCCCGCTGAGGCGTCTGCACAGGTCCAGCTCTCGCTGCTGGGCGACTTGGTCTTCATGGGCTCGGTGCTCCCAAAGGTCTCCCAGAAGCTCTGGTCTATGGCGCTGTTCTGGAAGCCGTCCCCGCCACTGTTCTGGTAGCTCTGGCCCTCCAGGGGCCTTACACAGAGAGAAAAGCTCTCAACGGTGGGTACAGAACCAGACTCACGCTGGCACTTCCCACGCCAACCCTCCCAAGCCCCGCACACACCCCGTCAGAGCATGTGCGTGGGGTGAGAGCACTTCACATACTCAGAGCAAACTTGGCCTTGGCGAGGCTCTACCCTGGTGCCAAGGGCCTGGAGCCTGATGAAAGGGCAGAGAGTCCACCCTGGAGCGCAGCATGCCAGGAAAGGAGGCAGCCCGTGCCCGACAGGAAGCCCTGCACGCGGTGCCAGGCCGAGAGGAAGCGCACTGGAGGCCGACAGCCTCAAAGAACAGGGAGAACCCAAAGACCCAGGGTCCGGGGGGAGGGTGGAAGGAGGGACCACAGCATAGCTACCCAAGGGGTCGGGGGGGGGGGGGGAGGGATCACAGCATAGCTACCCAAGGGGTCTGGGGGGAGGGTGGAAGGAGGGATCACAACATAGCTATCCAAGGGGTCTGGGGGGGGGAGGGATCACAACATAGCTACCCAAGGGGTCTGGGGGGAGGGTGGAAGGAGGGACCACAGCATAGCTACCCAAGGGGTCTGGGGGGGGGGGGAGGGTGGAAGGAGGGATCACAACATAGCTACCCAAGGGGTCGGGGGGGGGGAGGGATCACAGCATAGCTATCCAAGGGGTCGGGGGGGGGGGGAGGGATCACAACATAGCTACCCAAGGGGTCTGGGGGGAGGGATCACAGCATAGCTATCCAAGGGGTCGGGGGGGGGGAGGGATCACAACATAGCTACCCAAGGGGTCGGGGGGGGGGGAGGGATCACAGCATAGCTATCCAAGGGGTCGGGGGGGGGGGGGAGGGATCACAACATAGCTACCCAAGGGGTCTGGGGGGAGGGATCACAGCATAGCTATCCAAGGGGTCGGGGGGGGGGGGGGGGGAAGGAGGGATCGCAACATAGCTACCCAAGGGGTCTGGGGGGGAGGATCACAACATACCTGTCCAAGGGATCATCTGCCTTCCCAGAAAAGAAGGTGGTGACATCCCGCCATCCTTTACTGCCAACTCCCTGAACCTGGAAGGGAAAGAGGCTAGCTAGCCAAGGTCCTGCGGCGGCCCGCAGCCCCCAGTGGGCTGGCCTGAGACAGCACACCTAGGCCTTGCTGAGAAGACCTGGGTCAGACCACAGTGCTCAGGCACCAGGGGAGGCCCCTGCTTGGTTCCATGGCAGCGGCCGTGGCAGCCTCCCTTCCCCTCCCCACACTCTGCCCTCAGCAGTTTCCTGAAGCCACCGGTGGGCCACCATTAGCAGAGAAGAAAAGCCAAGGCTGTGGCAGACAGGTGCTCGCACTTACCACAGGAAAGGCCAAGGCAGCGAGAAAAGCAGGAAGGAGAGCGACAGGTTAGTGGCTGGCAGTGCCTGCTGCTTGCACACTCGACCCTGGGGCTCGACAGCAGGCACTGCCGCTCCTGGCAAGACCTACGTGGACACGAGTGCCCGGCTCCTCCAGGGACACTGGCCCCGGGGCCTGGAATATGGAGACGGGCTCTAGCTGTGCCCATGCTGGCAGGGTTGCCCTACCTTGGATGCCAACTGAGAGACCCCACTGGACACATCATCAAAAATCCTTCCCTCCTTCACCTGTGCGGTTTAAAGAGCACAGTCAGGGGAGGAGCACCTCAAGGAGGGGTCATCTGAAGCCCGTCACACTGTCACATCAATCAATCGCACCGCAGGAGACCTCACCCGCCACTACAAGGGGGACCCGGTGTCTGGGCCTGGCCTCTGCGTGGAGGGGTTGGTGACCCCCCCCCCCCCGGCCTGGGATCTGTGCACTCTCAAGGCTCAACAGGCCAGTGGAGAACAGGCAAACGCAACCCATGCACTGGGGGCCTAACAGAGAGAAGCGAGCCTGGAATGTATGAGCACACTGGAGGGCAGAGGTGCAGGGGCTCCCAGACCACACAAGGGGTGGGGCCACACAAGGGGCGGGGCCACACAAGGGGCGGGGCCACACAAGGGGAGGGGCAGACGGTGCTCCAAGGCCCCCCCCCGCCCCCCCCCCCCCCCCCCCGCATCCGGCTCCCCTGGGAAATGAAGGGCCTCCCCCTACCTTCTCCTGAGCAGGCTTGAGGACGTTCTCGTTCAGGCTGTGGCCCAACTCTGAAGCCTGTCAGAAAGGGTGTGGCGTGAGCTTCACGGCAGGCAGACTCTGAGAGGCGCGAGCGCACAGGCTTTGCCGAGGTAGGGGACAGCGGTGGCACGGGCCGGCCTGAGCGCGGAGCCAGGGCAAAGCCCGCACCCTTGGGCCTTCCTCACACGCAGCACAACCGTCAGCTCACGGGAACAAGCCTGAGCCCACACTCATCCACGACAGGGAAGGCCGTGGACCTTGCTGACCACAGGCCTCTCTTTCCTCTCCCTCCACAGGCAGGGAGGCAGACAGAGGCCAAGGCAGAGGGAGGCAAAGGGAAGGGCCCAGCCTTCCTCCACCACCATGGTGACAGTGGCCTTGAGCTGCCCAGGGAGTGATGCATTCTCCCCTCCCACACAGCCTCCCAGCAGGTGAATCCCCCAGGCTCCTCGGCATTATGTTTGCGAGTACCTGGACTCTGGGCCTGGGGCCAGCTGCCACCCCCCAGCTCCAGCAGGCCACAGAGGTGCAAGCACAGCACACAGAGGTGACCAAGCACACAGACAGGTAGCAGCCAGGAGCAAAGCATTCTCAGCAGACGTGGGCTGCATGCACCAGCAGACACGGGCTTTACCGGCTCTGGTTGCTGCTTATAACCCCAAAACTTCACCCAGATCGCCGGGAGCAGGTTAGCAGAGAGAGAGCAAGGGAGTAGGAGCAGGATTTAGCAATACCCAGGAAATCCTTAAAAATACCACTCTTCCACAGAACTGGCTTTTCTCTTTGTTTACAGGGTCTCCAGCCTCAACTTACATCAGCTTGACCTGTGCTGGGCTTATGTCATGTGCCACCATGCTCAATCTGACTGACTCCTAATGGTGGGACCAGGTCCTGTCAGCCTGCCCTGGGCCCTTGCATCAACAATTTTCTGCTTCAAACTTGCCACTGTCCAAAATCCCAAGAGCCTTAGAAGCCCAACTTGGAGCCAAAGATATGGCCCGGAACAGACTCAGCACAAAAGGCAGACGAGAGGCCCTCGGAGCAGAAGTGCAGGCTGCAGGGAAGAGGCTTCACAAGAACTGCTGCTGTCCCTCGGGTGTGAGGGCAGAGCACAGAAAAGTACCTGCAGAGCCACGGAGGCAAGACCAGACGCCTGTGTGCCTCACGGCTAGTGCTGAGCTACATCGAGTCCTCACGGCTACTGCTGATCTACACCGAGTCCTCACGGCTACTGCTGAGCTGCACAGAGTCCTCACGGCTACTGCTGATCTACATCGAGTCCTCACGGCTACTGCTGAGCTACATCAAGTTTTGAGGGGGGGCGAGGGGGAGAGAAAGAAATGGCAAGGCCCAGATGGCTTTGCCCAAGACAGAATACCCACAGGAACCTGACAGAGGTGCTGGGTGGCAGCAGCAACCTTTCATGCTAAGTGGCTGTGACCCAGGCAGTCTGACTCCCTTCCCAACAAGGAGGCTGCTGCCCCTACCTGCCAGAACCACGGTGACTGTGCCAATGTGTGAGCACAGTGCAAGGCCTTATGCACCGGGACCCTCAGACCTGGACGTGTGAGCACCGTGCAGATCCTTGTGCACCGGGACCCTCAGACCTGGACGTGTGAGCACCGTGCAGATCCTTGTGCACCGGGACCCTCAGACCTGGACGTGTGAGCACCGTGCAGATCCTTGTGCACCGGGACCCTCAGACCTGGACGTGTGAGCACCGTGCAGATCCTTGTGCACCGGGACCCTCAGACCTGGACGTGTGAGCACCGTGCAGGGCCTTGTGCACCGGGACCCTCAGACCTGGACGTGTGAGCACCGTGCAGGGCCTTGTGCACCGGGACCCTCAGACCTGGACGTGTGAGGACAGTGCAGGGCCTTGTGCACCGGGACCCTCAGACCTGGACGTGTGAGCACCGTGCAGGGCCTTGTGCACCGGGACCCTCAGACCTGGGCGTGTGAGCACCATGCAGGGCCTTGTGCACCGGGACCCTCAGACCTGGACGTGTGAGCACCGTGCAGGGCCTTGTGCACCGGGACCCTCAGACCTGGACGTGTGAGGACAGTGCAGGGCCTTGTGCACCGGGACCCTCAGACCTGGGCGTGTGAGCACCATGCAGGGCCTTGTGCACCGGGACCCTCAGACCTGGACGTGTGAGCACCGTGCAGGGCCTTGTGCACCGGGACCCTCAGACCTGGACGTGTGAGCACCGTGCAGATCCTTGTGCACCGGGACCCTCAGACCTGGACGTGTGAGCACAGTGCAGGGCCTTGTGCACCGGGACCCTCAGACCTGGACGTGTGAGCACCGTGCAGGGCCTTGTGCACCGAGACCCTCAGACCTGGACGTGTGAGCACAGTGCAGGGCCTTGTGCACCGGGACCCTCAGACCTGGACGTGTGAGCACCGTGCAGATCCTTGTGCACCGGGACCCTCAGACCTGGGCGTGTGAGCACCGTGCAGATCCTTGTGCACCGGGACCCTCAGACCTGGACGTGTGAGCACAGTGCAGATCCTTGTGCACCGGGACCCTCAGACCTGGACGTGTGAGCACCGTGCAGGGCCTTGTGCACCGGGACCCTCAGACCTGGACGTGTGAGCACAGTGCAGATCCTTGTGCACCGGGACCCTCAGACCTGGACGTGTGAGCACCGTGCAGGGCCTTGTGCACCGGGACCCTCGGACCTGGACGTGTGAGCACCGTGCAGATCCTTGTGCACCGGGACCCTCAGACCTGGACGTGTGAGCACCGTGCAGGGCCTTGTGCACCGGGACCCTCAGACCTGGACGTGTGAGCACCGTACAGATCCTTGTGCACCGGGACCCTCAGACCTGGACGTGTGAGCACAGTGCAGATCCTTGTGCACCGGGACCCTCAGACCTGGACGTGTGAGCACCGTGCAGATCCTTGTGCACCGGGACCCTCAGACCTGGACGTGTGAGCACCGTGCAGATCCTTGTGCACCGGGACCCTCAGACCTGGACGTGTGAGCACCGTGCAGATCCTTGTGCACCGGGACCCTCAGACCTGGACGTGTGAGCACCGTGCAGGGCCTTGTGCACCGGGACCCTCAGACCTGGGCGTGTGAGCACCGTGCAGATCCTTGTGCACCGGGACCCTCAGACCTGGACGTGTGAGCACCGTACAGATCCTTGTGCACCGGGACCCTCAGACCTGGACGTGTGAGCACCGTGCAGATCCTTGTGCACCGGGACCCTCAGACCTGGACGTGTGAGCACCGTGCAGGGCCTTGTGCACCGGGACCCTCAGACCTGGGCGTGTGAGCACCGTGCAGATCCTTGTGCACCGGGACCCTCAGACCTGGACGTGTGAGCACCGTGCAGGGCCTTGTGCACCGGGACCCTCTCAGACCTGGACTGTGAGCACCGTGCAGGGCCTTGTGCACCGGGACCCTCTCAGACCTGGCATCTGGCCCAAAGGCTCCTGGACACTGCACATGTCATCACAGTTGCAAAAGGTTTCTAACACACTAGAAGGCACAAGCTCCTGCTTTTTACCTTTTGACTTGCTTGTGATCCAAATTTTGTAGCCTAAAAGGAAAAAGAAAGATGAGTTTCTTAACCCTGGCCACAGGTTTTATTCCCTCAGGGCCTGTGGCTTCCAGGACTCTGTCCTGACACTGGTAATGCAGCGGCGGCTCCCAGGTGCCCCGGGAGTCACAGGAAGGCCTGGCATGGCACTTCCTCCACTCTCAGACACTGTCCAGCCATGGCCCCACCGTGGGAGCTAGGGAGCTAGGTCCAGAAGCTGGCCTTCCCACCACCCCGCCTGTGTGCACATGTGGCTGCACAGAACTTGAGGGCTGACACACCAGGAAAGGAAGGAGAGACTAGCACGGATGGCCCGGAGGGAAGACGCCTGGCCCTTCCTTGGCCTCCAGCCTCTCTACAGATGAGACGAGAGGCCCAGCAGCAGCCGTGCGGCAAAGGGAACGGCGAAAGCCAAGCCAGCGGCTTTTCTTTGGGGATGCGGGCACTGGGGTTTGAACTCAGAGCTCTGCATTCTCACTTGGCTTTTTTGCTCATGACTGACATTCTACCACTTGAGTCATGTCTCAAGTTCCAACCTGCTGCTGGTTAACTGGATTCCTGAGCCTGAGCTGCTCCAAGCCTCCTGGGAAGCCAGGCTTGCATTCATGGGCCTTGCCCGGTGTCACATGGCTTCTGACTGGCTGACTGGACAGCTATGGGCGCTGTGGCCTGTTTGCTTGGTCAGGGGACAACGCTGCCTGTCCCTGCCCCTGCCCCACACCTCCTCACTCCTCCAGCCCACCCTTTCCTTCACTACCAGCACTTGGTAGGTGACAGCCACAGCCACACATGCTTCTCCTACATGGGTGTCTAGTGAGACCCCAAGTTCCCTCCTCATTCCAGGCAAAGGCGAGAGAGAGAGCGCCTGGTGCAGAAACTCAGGGTGCACAGGTGTCTAAGCATATGTTATCGGGGGTCAGACAGGACCATCAGGCAAGTGAACTCTGCAGGCACCTTGTTCCTAACAGAGAACACCCACCACCACAGGCAGGGCAGGGCCATCCTGGTGCCAAGGCCTCAGGCCAGCCCGCCGGGGAGTGGGCAGCCCCAGCAGTCAAAGCTCCCAGACTCCCATGTTCTGAGGTTACTTACACCTTCCTTGGCTGCAGAAGCAAACTTGCTGGCTCCAGTGGTAAAACTACTCCAACCCTAGGGAGACAACAGAGAACAAGCCATGTTGCACAGTTCCTTGCATGGCCGTGTCAGACCTGGGCATGCTGGGCTCCTGGCCCCTTGACAAAGCTCTGCAGCAGAGAAGAGGCTAGAGAGAAGCACCTCAGGCCCTCCAGGGCCCCGTGTCCAGTGAGGAAGCCGGCAGCTGGATGCCACAGCCACAGCCGCCCTCACCCCTCACAACTCACATCCGCACTGCCTGTCCCCAAGAGGACTGACTGGCAAGAGCAAGGCCAGGCTCCAAGCCCAGGGAATCTCTGGCCCTGCAGCCTGGCCCAGGGCCTCTGGGGAGCCCTCTTCCTGGCCCTCCCCGCTCACACAGAGCAGACAGATAGACAGAGCTCACCTCAGGCCACTCTAAGTTCACAACTGCTTTCCCTAGCCCTCCATGGCAAACTGAGGCTATTCAAACTGAGGCACCCCCACGGGGGCGGGGGCGGGGGCGTGTGCAAGGCACCCCACCCATCAGAGGCACATAGCGCATGGTTCTGCCACCACAGGCGTCCTCAGCAGAGGAGGGAAAGATGCTGGCTCAGACAGGACTTTGGGGTGTGATTAAAGAAAAAAACCACCACAGGCTTTAGGTGAAAAGCCTGCTTTTCCTACCCACACTAGACGTGGCCTGACTAGGGAGAGTAACTATGGCTGCCAGTGCCCAGTCAGGCGATCTCCCAGGCTTCCCGAGTGACTCGAAGACCTGCAGGACAGGGATTCTAGGACCCAACAGGGAGGTTCCTAGGGGCCAGCAACTATTGTTGGGCTCTCTGAGGCAGTCTGGCTCTGCAGGGCAGGCTCCCCCGGCGTCGCACTGGCTGGCTGGCCGCTGGCCTCACCGAGTACAGCGATGACATAGCATTGTTGAGGAAGTCGTCTTCTCTTTTCTGAGGTGGCACGGTGTTCCCAAACCCCACGTAGCGATTCTCCTGGGCCCTGAGGGTGAATAAGAAAACACCAGGCAAGAACATGAATCTCTGCTCTTCAGCGGCAAGGCTCCAGGCCTCTGGAGGAGGTACTGACCAGAACTACATAGCTCCGTCTCTGAAGTTTTAGGTCTCCTCTACCTTCACAACCCTCAATATTTGACCCTATCCATTAAACCTGAGGCCCTGAATTCAAACACCAGTACTGTAAAACAGAAAGCCTTCCATTCACAGCTGGGCTACTCAGGGCTGGCCGCACACATGCTGTGGTGGTACAGGAGGCGGCCCTAACCCCGTGGCTCGGCCCTCGAGAGGGGCCTGCCCCAGACACCATGGCAGCTGGACGAGCCTTACCCTTGATAGGACTTGAGGTCGTCGTTCAGCCAGTCCTCGAAGGCCTTGTCCCCAGAGGCGCTCACGTGCTGAGACTGGCCGGTGGGCCTGAAACCAAGAGTCAAAGTCCAGAGGAGACAGTCCTGGGAGCAGCAGGCAGAGGCTCACAGACCGTGGGTGGCCCGGCAATGCTCACTTGAGCCACGTGGTCCACGGGAGAGGGCCTTTCACACCACGCCTGGAGAGCACCACGGCCAGGCCCACCCCCAGCTCTGACCCACAGGATGATCCAGTTCAGGTACCAAAATCCCAGCAGCATCCAAACTCACTGTCCTCAAAAGCAGCCCAGAGTAGGATCTGTGGCAGCTGGGAAAGGCAGGGAGGGCTCCAGGATGAGAAACAGGCTGAGGCCATCGAAGGCAGGGCCAGGGGAGAGGCAGGCAGTGGGACAGTCACCCAGCAGACACAGGGTCCTCCCGTGCTGCTGGCCCTACACCAGCCTCTGGGTTGACTCCCCCACAGGAAGTGGGGTGCATCCAAACCTAGGGGGCTGCGGTGTCAAGAGGCTGTGCTGTCCAGTGACCAGAGACTCAGAAACCAGTGACTTGTGAGAAACCAACACCATCCCAACATGTCATCATTCACAGGTGGCACCACCTGGAGTGTGCTGTGCCCTCCTGAGCATGGGGATGGGGTCACGACCTCCTGAGCATGGGGACGGGATGGGGCCACGATCTCCTGAGGATGGGGACGGGCCATGACCTCCTGAGCATGGGGACGGGGTCACGCCCTCCTGAGCATGGGGACGGGGCCACGACCTCCTGAGCATGGACACAGGGTCACGACCTCCTGAGCATGGAGACGGGCCACGACCTCCTGAGCATGGGGACGGGGTCACGACCTCCTGAGCATGGGCACGAGGTCACGACCTCCTGAGCATGGGCACGAGGTCACGACCTCCTGAGCATGGGGACGGGGTCACGACCTCCTGAGCATGGGCACGAGGTCACGACCTCCTGAGGATGGAGACGGGGCCACGACCTCCTGAGCATGGACACGGGGCCACAACCTCCTGAGCATGGACACGGGGCCACGACCTCCTGAGGATGGACACGGGGCCATGACCTCCTGAGCATGGACACGGGGTCACGACCTCCTGAGCATGGGGACGGGGTCACGCCCTCCTGAGCATGGGGATGGGGCCACGACCTCCTGAGGATGGGGACGGGGTCACGCCCTCCTGAGCATGGACACGGGGCCACAACCTCCTGAGCATGGGGACGGGGCCACGACCTCCTGAGCATGGGGACGGGGTCACGACCTCCTGAGCATGGGGACGGGGTCACAACCTCCTCAGCATGGGGACGGGGCCACAACCTCCTGAGGACAGGCACAGGGCCACGACCTCCTGAGGATGAGGCCATGACCTCCTGAGGATGGGGATGGGGTCACGACCTCCTGAGGAAGGGGATGGGGTCACGACCTCCTGAGGATGGGATGGGGTCATGACCTCCTGAGGATGGGGGCACGACCTCCTGAGGATGGGGATGGGGGCACGACCTCCTGAGCATGGACACGGGGCCACGACCTCCTGAGCATGGGCACGAGGTCACGACCTCCTGAGGATGGAGACGGGGCCACGACCTCCTGAGCATGGACACGGGGCCATGACCTCTTGAGCATGGACACGGGGTCACGACCTCCTGAGCATGGGGACGGGGTCACGCCCTCCTGAGCATGGACACGGGGCCATGACCTCCTGAGCATGGACACGGGGTCACGACCTCCTGAGCATGGGGACGGGGTCACGCCCTCCTAAGCATGGGGACGGGGCCACGACCTCCTGAGGATGGGGACGGGGTCACGCCCTCCTGAGCATGGACACGGGGCCACGACCTCCTGAGCATGGGGACGGGGCCACGACCTCCTGAGCATGGGGACGGGGTCACGACCTCCTGAGCATGGGGACGGGGTCACAACCTCCTCAGCATGGGGACGGGGCCACAACCTCCTGAGGACAGGCACAGGGCCGCGACCTCCTGAGGATGAGGCCATGACCTCCTGAGGATGGGGATGGGGTCACGACCTCCTGAGGATGGGATGGGGTCATGACCTCCTGAGGATGGGGGCACGACCTCCTGAGGATGGGGATGGGGGCACGACCTCCTGAGGATGGGGACAGGGTCACGACCTCCTGATGAGGACAGGGTCACGACCTCCTGATGGGGACGGGGTCATGACCTGAGGACAGGCATGGGGCCATGACCTCCTGAGGATGGGGACGGGGTCACGACCTCCTGAGGATGGGGACAGGGACAGGGTCACGACCTCCTGAGGATGGGGACAGGGACAGGGTCACGACCTCCTGAGGATGGGGGCGCTGCTCTTCATCCCAGGCATGTCTTTACTAGGTACATCTTTTTGAAAAGGGGTCTCCACACTGACTTTCAGAAGCAGCTCTCAACAGGAGCCATTCTATGAGTGAAGGAAGTAAACAGTGAGGCTTTGCTGGGATCCCTGAGCTACAGCTAAGACCGAGGCTGAGCTGAGGACAGCCGAGCCCACACGGCAGGCCAGGTGCAGCTACCTGTGGGCAGTGGATGACAGCATCTTGGGCTGTGGTGGGGTCCAGTTCTGAGCGGGTGATGACTCCAGAGACCACTCTCTACCTTCAGCCAGCGTGGCCACCTGAGACAGGGACGTGAGGCAGGCGGGCATGTCCACTGTCCTCTCAGCACGCCCAGCCCTCCCCACCAGCTCCTCTGCAGGTTCTGTCTGGGCTAGGGAGCCACAGCTCAGGTTTACACACCAAGGGTAAGTGCAGGGCTGCAGTAAACAACAGTCTGGTGAGCACCTGACCAGTGCAGCTCCAATTTCAAAAGCACAGGGACCCACTTATTGGGACCCCAAACAATGGCTTCACAGCGTCTCCGAGAAACTCTGGAAGCACTATGATCAGTTCCTTTTCTACCAGTAATCTCCGCTGGGCAGGAAGAGCCTGCTCTGGAAAAGGCAAGGGCCTGTGCGTGACAGGAGAAAACCTGCCTCCCAGGGCCACTAAAGCCACACAGCCGCCACCCCGGGGGGCACAGCCTACAGTGGAACAAGCCGGGCCTCTTACCTTATCCCTGAAGAGCGCTGCGGCCCTGCTGTTGTACTTGTCCTGCAGGGACCAGTCAGGATCGTAATCCTCCTGTGCCTCCAAGAACTCTCGGAATTTGGCATTCCCACCAGCCTTCATTTTCTCCAGCTCGATGTCTTTCCATTTGTCCATCGTAACGGAGCGCACGAAGCTAGAAACGGAGTGACAGAGTCACCAAACAGGAGGAGAGAGCCAGAAGCCCCCAGCCAGGGGCAAGCCAAGAACTGGCCAGGGGTGCTTCCTACGGCAGGCTAGGCCGGAGCTCCACAGAGAACAGCCAGGCAGGTGACAAGATGGGCGGTGGTGCCACTGACCAGGCCACCCAGCAGGACCAGTCAGACAGCGTGACAGGGACGCGGGGGCAGACGCTGACGGCGGAGGCCGAGAGGACACTGACCTGAGGTGCACTCCGAGGCCGCGGTGTCTCCCGGAGCACTCCAGGCAGATCCAGATGCCATAGCTCACACTCACCCACTGAGGGTTGAATGCGCCACACTCAAAACAAACCTGCAAAGCGGCCACGTGCAGATTACCAGGCAGCCCAAGGTAGGCAGGGCCTAACGACCTGGCAACTGCCCCACGCGGGTGCAGAGGAGGAACGGGCAGCATTTAAAGGGCAGGGAGGGAGACTAACAGGGCTTCCTGGCTGGCCCTAGGGCATGAGTCAGGGAAAAGCTACAGAAGGGTCTTCCCAGAAATGAGTGTGAAGGGGATATGAATGGTCCTCAGAGGTCTGCACAGTGCGGCTGAGGGCCTGGTGTACCCAGGCCAGCCACGACGGGAGAGTGCGGCCGGAGGCTCACCCACACCAACACACTCACGTTGTTCTCATCTTGCACTCTGACTTCTTTAAGAACTTTCCTGGTTCTTGGACTGGCCATGATGCTGCAAAGAAGAAGACAAGCCCTTCAGCTTATGAACAGGTTACTTTACAAGAAAGGAAAGAAACTGGGAGTTCCGGAACCACTCTGAGAAAGCCCTTTCCACAGGCCACTCCAGAGCCCACAGCTAGAAAGGCTCCGGGCTGGGCGGGTGTGGTGACGAGGAAACCAGGAGCTACTGGGGTGTCTCTCCACTTGGCACTGTGTCATCAACACCATGCTTTTGAAGACAGCTTTCAGAGGGGGAGGGCTTGCAGATCGGCTGCAACAGCGACACCAGGACGGCGGGGGGCACTCTGCCCACGCCAGCTCTGCAGCCAGCTCTGCAGCCAGCTCTGCAGCCAGCTCTGCAGCCAGCTCTGCAGCCGTCTGACCATGTGCAGGGGACCAGCCCATGAAGGGGCCCACAGCCGGCAACCACACCCCCGCCCTTCCTGGGTGCTGGCCCCAGCCACGAGGCCTGTCAAAAAACTGACTGGGCGCTGGGAAGGTGGCTCAGTGGCACAGAGCTCGCCTAGCAAGCATACAACCCTGGGTTCCATTCCTCAGCACCACATACCCAGAAAAGGCCAGAAAGAGCACTGTGGCTCAAGTGGTAGAGTGCTAGCCTTGAGCAAAAGAAGCTCAGGGACAGTGCCCAGGCCCTGAGTTCAAGGCCCAGGACTGGTTTAAGAGAAAAAAAAAAACCTGACTGGAACACTAGTGGGCATGGTGGCCCCAGAACTCAGGCTGAAGAGATAGCTACTATTTATTTATTTATACATCTACTGGTTTTAGCAAGGCTAAATTCAACCAGTGGCCCATTTAATTCAGGGCCAGGAAAATCAAAGCGGGAGGAAGCAGCGCAACCAACCACCATGTCAGACATAACTTAACCCAGCAATGCGACTGGAGGCAGACGTGGGTCCAGGGCCATGCCTGAGCCACCCAGGGCGCCTGTGTGGGCTGCTCACACTGCCACAGACAGCACACTCACCAGCACTCAGTAACACTCTCCTACAGACAGCACACTCACCAGCACTCAGTTACACTCTCCTACAGACAGCACACTCACCAGCACTGGGTAACACGCTCCCACAGACAGCACACTCACCAGCACTCAGTTACACTCTCCCACAGACAGCACACTCACCAGCACTCAGTTACACTCTCCTACAGACAGCACACTCACCAGCACTCGGTAACATGCTCCCACAGACAGCACACTCACCAGCACTCAGTTACACTCTCCCACAGACAGCACACTCACCAGCACTCAGTAACACTCTCCCACAGACAGCACACTCACCAGCACTCAGTAACACTCTCCTACAGACAGCACACTCACCAGCACTGGGTAACACGCTCCTACAGACAGCACACTCACCAGCACTGGGTAACACGCTCCTACAGACAGCACACTCACCAGCACTGGGTAACACGCTCCCACAGACAGCACACTCACCAGCACTCAGTAACACTCTCCCACAGACAGCACACTCACCAGCACTCAGTAACACTCTCCTACAGACAGCACACTCACCAGCACTCAGTTACACTCTCCCACAGACAGCACACTCACCAGCACTCAGTAACACCCTCCCACAGACAGCACACTCACCAGCACTCAGTAACACTCTCCCACAGACAGCACACTCACCAGCACTCAGTAACACTCTCCCACAGACAGCACACTCACCAGCACTCAGTTACACTCTCCCACAGACAGCACACTCACCAGCACTCAGTAACACTCTCCCACAGACAGCACACTCACCAGCACTCAGTAACACTCTCCCACAGACAGCACACTCACCAGCACTCAGTAACACTCTCCCACAGACAGCACACTCACCAGCACTCAGTAACACTCTCCCAGACAGCACACTCACCAGCACTCAGTAACACTCTCCCACAGACCGCACACTCACCAGCACTCAGTAACACTCTCCCACAGACAGCACACTCACCAGCACTGGGTAACACGCTCCCACAGACAGCACACTGACCAGCACTCAGTAACACTCTCCCACAGACAGCACACTGACCAGCACTCAGTAACACTCTCCCACAGACAGCACACTCACCAGCACTCAGTTACACTCTCCCACAGACAGCACACTCACCAGCACTCAGTAACACTCTCCCACAGACAGCACACTCACCAGCACTCAGTAACACTCTCCCACAGACAGCACACTCACCAGCACTCAGTAACACTCTCCCACAGACAGCACACTCACCAGCACTCAGTAACACTCTCCCACAGACAGTACACTCACCAGCACTCAGTAACACTCTCCCACAGACCGCACACTCACCAGCACTCAGTAACACTCTCCCACAGACAGCACACTCACCAGCACTGGGTAACATGCTCCCACAGACAGCACACTGACCAGCACTCAGTAACACTCTCCCACAGACAGCACACTCACCAGCACTCAGTTACACTCTCCCACAGACAGCACACTCACCAGTACTCAGTAACACTCTCCCACAGACAGCACACTCACCAGCACTCAGTTACACTCTCCCACAGACAGCACACTCACCAGCACTCAGTAACACTCTCCCACAGACAGCACACTCACCAGCACTCGGTAACATGCTTCCACAGACAGCACACTCACCAGCACTCGGTAACACGCTTCCACAGACAGCACACTCACCAGCACTCAGTAACACGCTTCCACAGACAGCACACTCACCAGCACTCAGTAACACTCTCCCACAGACAGCACACTCACCAGCACTCAGTAACACTCTCCCACAGACAGCACACTCACCAGCACTGGGTAACACGCTCCCACAGACAGCACACTCACCAGCACTCAGTAACACTCTCCCACAGACAGCACACTCACCAGCACTCAGTAACACTCTCCCACAGACAGCACACTCACCAGCACTCAGTAACACTCTCCCACAGACAGCACACTCACCAGCACTCAGTTACACTCTCCCACAGACAGCACACTCACCAGCACTCACACTCTCCCACAGACAGCACACTCACCAGCACTCAGTAACACTCTCCCACAGACAGCACACTCACCAGCACTGGGTAACACTCTCCCACAGACAGCACACTCACCAGCACTCAGTTACACTCTCCCACAGACAGCACACTCACCAGCACTCAGTTACACTCTCCCACAGACAGCACACTCACCAGCACTCAGTAACACTCTCCCACAGACAGCACACTCACCAGCACTCAGTTACACTCTCCCACAGACAGTACACTCACCAGCACTCAGTAACACTCTCCCACAGACAGCACACTCACCAGCACTCAGTAACACTCTCCCACAGACAGCACACTCACCAGCACTCAGTAACACTCTCCCACAGACAGCACACTCACCAGCACTCAGTAACACTCTCCCACAGACAGCACACTCACCAGCACTCAGTTACACTCTCCCACAGACAGCACACTCACCAGCACTGTAACACTCTCCCACAGACAGCACACTCACCAGCACTCAGTAACACTCTCCCACAGACAGCACACTCACCAGCACTCAGTAACACTCTCCCACAGACAGCACACTCACCAGCACTGGGTAACACGCTCCCACAGACAGCACACTCACCAGCACTCAGTAACACTCTCCCACAGACAGCACACTCACCAGCACTCAGTAACACTCTCCTACAGACAGCACACTCACCAGCACTCAGTAACACTCTCCCACAGACAGCACACTCACCAGCAATCAGTAACACTCTCCCACAGACAGCACACTGACCAGCACTCAGTAACACTCTCCCACAGACAGCACACTCACCAGCACTCAGTAACACTCTCCCACAGACAGCACACTCTCCAGCACTCAGTAACACTCTCCCACAGACAGCACACTCACCAGCACTCAGTTACACTCTCCCACAGACAGCACACTCACCAGCACTCAGTAACACTCTCCCACAGACAGCACACTCACCAGCACTGGGTAACACTCTCCCACAGACAGCACACTGAGGAGGACTTAATAAGCATCAGAAGCTATACTCGGGCCACATTTTCAGTACCACTGTACTAGTGGTCTAAAGATAACTAGTTAAGACTGGCTTTCTATTATGATCTAAGTGGAGCTCAATGTGAGGGACACGTTGAAAACAAACAACCAAAAAGAACACCTGTGATATATTCTGTATTTATTTTTGGTCAGTCATGGGGCTAGAACTTGGGGCCCGGCCATTGTCCCTGAGCTCTTTTGCTCAAGGTTGAGCCACAACACCACTTTTGGTTTTATGGAGGTTAACTGGAGATTAGTCTCATGGACTTTCCTGCCCAGGCTGGCTTCACACTGTGATCCTCAGATCTCAGCTTCCTGAGTAGCTAGGATTACAGGTGTGAGCACCCAGAGCCTTTTGTATATTATTTTTCATCTTAAGTCTGCAGAGAAGGGGTCTCCACAGAAGGAAGCACTCTCAACCTACCAAACCTTCATTACTTCACCCCACTAGGACCCACTCCTAAGCTACCTGACGTTATGAAGTGTTTTTTGTAACTGACTTAAAAAAAAAGCGTACGTTCCCCTTTAGTTCCTTCCACTGTGTGGCTGTCTGTGCCAGGATGTGGCCCTGAAACTACAGACAGGAGGTGAACACAAGTGCCAACTCCCACCTGCAGGCCCCAGGCCCGCATGACTTGGGCAGAACACTGTCACTAGACCAAGCCTCTCATGAACATGTATGTGGAGAGGCACCCGGCGGCTTGAGTTTACAAAGCTCCCAGGCCACACGCCCACTGGCCTGGGCAGCAGTCACAGCACCTGGGCATCTGGCCTGGGCAGCAGTCACAGCACCTGGGCAGCCGCACTCAGCCTGGCCTCCTGCAGCGGCACTGCCCACTGTCAGGGGCTCACACCCTAGCCAACCCCACAGAGGCAAACCAAGGGGCAGAGCTGGCAAGACCAAAACAAGGCCAAAGGATGCTGACAGAACGGAACCTCAGGGGGGAAATGGGAGGAGCGGCTGGCCTTGGGTCTGGCGCACCCTCCACCGGGCACCAATCTTGGAAGTTTGAAAAACAGAAATGCCACCTTTAACAATAGCAAAGCAAATACCTGCTGGCTTTCAAGAGCATAACCGGAGCCTAGCACAAAAAATAGCTCTAGACTTCGGAACACCTAAAGCCAATGTTGCTGCGGCTTTAAGTAGACATCAGTGTGGTTACATGCAAAAGAAATGAAGAAACTCGATGGATCTGGGAAGGTGGCTCAGTGGTAGAGCGCTTGCCTCGCATGCACGAGGCCCTGGGTTCGATTCCTCAGCACCACATAAGCAGAAAAAACCAGAAGTAGTGCTGCGGCTCAAGTGGTAGAGCACTAGTCTTGAGCTGAAGAGCTGAGGGACAGCGCCCAGGCCCAGAGTTCAGGCCCCACGACACACAAAAAAAGAAAAGAAAAAGAGAGAAAGAGACCTCATGCAGCCACCCATTGGGCCACAGACCGCCGGGTCCTTTTGCTGAGACCCGCTTGGGGGCTCGGGGATGCTGCCAGGCTCGAGGCCCGAGGCAGCCAGGCGCCGGGAGAAGCTGTGCCTCAGCGCAGAGGCCTTCCCCGCGCCAGGCAGGGTCGGGCGGGGTTAGCGGGCTGGGCAGGGTCGGGACCCCGGAGGCCGGGCAGGGCCAGGCCAGACAGGGTCTGGCAGGGTCCGCGGGTCGGGCAGGGCAGGGCCAGGCAGGGCGGGGCAGGGTCGGGACCCCGGAGGTCGGGCCGGGCAGGGCCGGGCCGGGTCGGGACCCCGGAGGTCGGGCAGGGCCGGGCAGGGCAGGGCGGGGCAGGGTCGGGACCCCGGAGGTCGGGCAGGGCCGGGCAGGGCGGGGCAGGGCGGGGCAGGGTCGGGACCCCGGAGGTCGGGCAGGGCCGGGCGGGGCAGGGCCGGGTCGGGCAGGGCCGGCGCCCCGCACGGCCGGCCCCGGCTGGCAGCCGGCAGGCGCGCGAGCCCGCGCCACAAGCCCCGCTCGTCCGGAGCCCGCGGCCGGCGGCGAACCGGGCGACGCGGGTCCGGGGCCGGTCCGCCGCCGTCTCCTCGCTCCCGGGCCGGGGCGCGCCGGGCTCTGCGGGCGGCGCGCGGGGCCTGCGGGCGCGGGGCCTCCGCACGGCCTCCGCACGGCCTCCGGCGCCGCGCCCGCGCTTACCTGGCAGGGCCGGGCGGGCCGGGCGTCAGCACGGGGCCGGCGGGGCGTCGGGTCGGGACCCCGGGGCCGCCGCGCCCGGAGCACAGGTCGCCACCGGCCGCCAGCAGCTTCCGGCGACGTCGCGCTTCGCAAGGCCTCACGGGAGACGGGCAGGACGGGACTTCCGCCTCCGTGTCGGAGCCCGGAAGTGAGGCCCGGCGCTTGACCCGGACGACGTCCTTCCGGTCCCCGGCCCGGCTGCTTGCTGGAGCCCCGCCTGAGCCCCTGGGCGAAGGCTGCGCCCGGCCTGGGCGCCCGGTGTGTGTCCCCGGCCTGGGCGCCCGGTGTGTGTCCCCGGCCTGGGCGCCCGGTGTGTGTGTCCCCGGCCTGGGCGCCCGGTGTGTGTCCCCGGCCTGGGGGCGCCCGGTGTGTGTGTCCCCGGCCTGGGCGCCCGGTGTGTGTCCCCGGCCTGGGCGCCCGGTGTGTGTCCCCGGCCTGGGCGCCCGGTGTGTGTCCCCGGCCTGGGGGCGCCCGGTGTGTGTGTCCCCGGCCTGGGCGCCCGGTGTGTGTCCCCGGCCTGGGCGCCCGGTGTGTGTCCCCGGCCTGGGCGCCCGGTGTGTGTCCCCGGCCTGGGCGCCCGGTGTGTGTCCCCGGCCTGGGCGCCCGGTGTGTGTGTACGCGGTGTGTATGTGTGTGTGTACGCGGTGTGTATGTGTGTGTGTACGCGGTGTGTATGTGTGTGTGTACGCGGTGTGTATGTGTGTGTGTACGCAGTGTGTAGAGGTGCCCGGTGTGTCCCCGGCGTGGGGTGCCCAGTGTGTGTGTGTACCCAGTGTGTGTGGGTGCCCAGTGTGTGTGTGTACCCGGTGTGGGGTGCCCAGTGTGTGTGTGTACCCAGTGTGGGGTGCCCAGTGTGTGTGGGGTGCCCAGTGTGTGTGGGTGCCCAGTGTGTGAAGGTGCGCAGTGTGGGGGTGCCCGGTGTGTGGGGGTCCCTGGTATGGGGGTACCCGGTGTGAGTATGCCTAGGGTAGGGGTGCCTGGTGTGTGGGGGTGCCCGGTGTGTGGGAGTGCCCAGTGTGGGGGTGCCCAGTGTGTGTGGGTCCCTGGTATGGGGGTACCCAGTGTGAGTATGCCTAGGGTAGGGGTGCCTGGTGTGTGGGGGTGCCTGGCGTGGGGGTACCCGGTATGTGGGAGTGCCCAGTGTGGGGGTGCCCGGTGTGTGTGGGTCCCTGGTATGGGGGTACCCGGTGTGTAGGGGTGCCCGGCGTGGAGTGCCTGGTGTGGGGTGCCCAGGTTGGGAATGTCCAGCAGGAGTGCGCCACCCCCTTCCCCTGGGCTGCTGGCAGAGATCGGCGTGCGTGGGAGGGCACCATCATTCCCCCAGAGGAAGCTGGCTGTGGCCACAGGCCCTTGAAGCCTCGGCTCTGGGTGAAGGTAGGCTCTGGCAAGCTGCTACTCTGCCTGCCTCTGGAGGGTGTCTGCAGGTGGATTTTTGGTAGTGTTTATTTTGTGCCTTCCTCTGCTACCTGTCCCTCATTAGTCAGTAGAACCTTTTTCCTTCTTTCTTTCTTTTTCTTTTTGTGTGGCACTTGAGCTCCGGGACTGGCCTTTTCTACAGCCTGGCCCTCCACCACTTGGGACGCCAGTCTCTTTTTGTTCATTAATTGGCTGGTACTCCTCCAGGGCTCAGCCTCCCAAGTAGGATTACAGGCGTGAGTCACCATCTCCTGGAAATAAGATACATTTTTATGGAGGAAAAATCCACTTTCAATGAAGCTTATAGCTCACTGAGTGGTTTTGGTAAACGTGACCCCTTTGTGTCTCCTCTACATTGAATAATAGAACGTACCCTGCCTTTCTGTCCCTACCTGGCCTAGAGCTTCATATAAATAGAATCACACACAAAAGAGTTCATTATGATGCCCAGATTCCTCCTCATTTTGCCACTACTCACTCTATTGCTGCGTGGTCTTCTGTTGGGTGGACAGGCACTCTGTTCATAGAGTACACACTGAGATTGTTTCTAGATTTTTTTTGGGGGGGGGGGGTCCGGTCATGGGGCCTGAACTCTGGGCCTGGGCGCTGTCCCTCAGCTCTTCAGCTCAAGGCTAGTGCTCTACCACTTGAGCCACAGTGCCACTTCTGGCTTTTTTCTTTTTGCTTATGTGGTGCTGAGGAATCGAACCCAGGGCCTCCTGCACGCAAGGCAAGCGCTCTACCACTTAGCCACCTTCCCAGCCCGTTTCTAGATTTTTTCCACTCAATAAAGCTGTTAGGAATAAAGCCTTGAATGTTATGAGTATTTTGTCTGTTTCTCCTGGATAACTTCGTGGATGTAGATTGGACTTGATGACAGTGCCAAACAACTTTCCAGAGTGGCTGGGCCATCCATATGAGAGCTCTAATACTACAGACAGGCAGGAGGCACCAAATCCTGTCCTTGCAGTTGATTGGCATTTCCCTCGTCCCTGGTTAGAGGGGCTCTGTACACCCTTACAGCTGCTTGCACTTACACACCCCCAGAGGGCGTGCTTGAGAGGGAGTGCCCACTTAGTAAAATGTACAAAAAGGGTGTGGGCCAAGGCAATGGGTGGGCCTGGGCGGCATCTCCGCCCGCCGGCGTGGCGGTCCAGCGGGCAGGACGACCAGCTGTGTAGTCACAGCAGGCTTCCTGGGAGAGGAGAGAGCAAACTGAAAAGAGGAGGGAAACGGAAAGCATTCCTGGGAAGGCACTGCCACACAGGCACCTGACCACCAGCGAGGCTCTTTCTGGGTGGGGATCATAAGCAGGTCACCGCTGCCTCCTCACCCAGCCATCTGTGTCTGTGTGTGTTTGTCTGCCGGTCTCTTTCTCTCTCCCTCTCTGGCTGGCTCCGGCTCCCTGACTCTAGGAGGTCTGGAGCTGCATTCATCCCCAGAGTTAAGATGGAGGTGTGGCCTTTCCAGGGACAGGTGATCTGCCACCTGGAGTTCCCATGACCGCCTCTGGCTCTACTGTGTCACTGTTTATGCAGTGGCAAGGGTACAGAGAGAGGGAGGAGATGTCCATTAAGGCCAAAATAGCAATACATGATGCATGGTACAAAATGGCTAGCTGCAGTTTGGAGTATTTCCATAGTCCACCTTAAGACAGACAAATTGTAATGTTTCTTTGAGAACTGCTGGGCAGTCCATTAATTTCAGTGATGTGGTATCTTTGTGGTTTCTGCCCTGAGGTGCTCAGGTTGTCTCTATTAGACCTGTGCAGAGTAACAGCGCAGTAAAAACGAACATCTTGAGGGGAAGAGTGTAGAGCTAGGGAGTCCAGTGACTGAGTGAGCAGGGACGAAGCTGCTGAGTGTTAGGCAGGTTTCCCGATGGCCGGGGAGGCTGTTGTGACCCCGTAGGTGCACCTGTTCCTGGGTGCAGGCTCCCCAGCAGGCCCTGAGCCCGGGACAGATACATTGCACAGCAACTACACATTCCTTCTAACGGGCATCCCTGCTTCCCCTGAAAAGGATCAAAAGGGGACTAAGGGTATGGCTCTAGTGATAGAGTGAGGGCCTGGCACGGGAGAGGCTCAGAATCCAATCCCAGAACTGCAAAGAAATTAAGAACAAACGAGCAGTGGAGCCAAGACTTCCAGGCAGCGCTGCCCAGTGGAAGCGAGGTTGTGGCACTGCACCCCTGGGTTGGGCACCTGTGAAGGCCAAAACCCTGGGGGGGGGGCGCGTTAACTCCCATTTCCTGCCTGGGGAGCAAGAAGTGTTTCTTGTTTCTATTTCTCCCTACTGCAATCCTGTAATTACAATAAACCCTTGCTAAAGCTTGAGAGGCAGAGGGAGAACCCTAGAGGTTGTATTCCAGATGCACATAACAGCGATGGGCCTGAGCACAGCTCCTGGGCCTGTGTGAACACCCAGCCCAGTTAGCTCTCCCAAGGCCCCCCAGCCCCCAGCAGGCTGCGGACGCTGAGGAAAGAGCTACGCCTGGTGAGGGCAGCTTACTCAGCAATTTGTGCATGCACCCAACACACACTGTGTGCACATGCTCATACGCATGCTTGCACACATGCATGTGGCTCACAGGGTGGCTCATAGGGTTGTAACTCACCAGGGCGGCTCACCCGGGTTTTGTTTGGGTGCCTTGGCTGGCTAGCCAGTACTCCCTTCCTCCTCCACCTTCCATGTGCACCCCTCCCACAGCTCACGCCGTTGGGGAAGATGACCTTCACTGCACCCAAGAGCCCTCCTCCAGTCAAGGGCCTCGGAGCAGTTGCCTTCCCGGCTGGTGTCTCCCCAAGTTCCCCAGAAGCAGCTGTGCTCCTGTCGCCTGAGCAGGCATGGGATGGGGTGGCCTGGGCTCAGAGTGTGTGTGTGTGTGTGTGTGTGTGTGTGTGTGTGTGTGTGTGTGTGATAACCAGAGGAAGATGTGACAGAGGAAAGAGCCTGCAGGAAGGCTCAGCCAGAGGACAGCTACTGGCAGGCCTGCACCCTCTCCTCAATCACCATGGAGTCTGCAGGCCTACTCAGAGCTTGCCCAGCCACACACTCACCCCGCGGCACTGCACCCCTTCCCCCAGAGCTCCCTCATGGGGGCGGGCTGAGTCTGAGAAGTCATCCACAGCCCCAGCGCCCCCTGCCTGTGGCCCTCCTGGGCCTGGGGGGTGGGTGGTCCCCCGGTCAGAGCCCTCCGAGGTGTCCTGGCCAGCAGTTTGGAAGGACCCGTCTCAAATGTTTTATCTGCGTTAACGACAGGATACATTTCAAGACATGTGTCCTCAGGCAATGTCCTGCAGACAGCAGAGTGCCCCCACCTACCTCAGGCTCTGGCTGTGGCCTCTTGGTGTGGCCAAGGGATTCAGCAACATGAGGAGGGGGGCAGCAGCTGCCTGCACCACACGGCAATCTGTTTTACAGGGAGTATTTCATTTTATTCAGCAGAATACGGCTAAAATAACAATAAAAACAGGCATGTAAACAATGGCATTTATCAGATACCTGATTGTATGTGCTACCACTTTATACGACTGGCAGTGAGCTAGGACTAGGTTTACCACACACACACACACACACACACACACACACAGAATGGATCATGTCTGACATCATGATGCCCACTGTAGGACTGCCATCATACCATGGCCTACCATTGCTGGACATCTCTTTCCATGCATGGGCCATAGCTTTCCTCATCACTCAGTGTCCCCACACACTGGTATTGGAACTGGGGCAATGTAGCATTTCCGCTGCTTAATTACAGACAGTCTCTCAGACTTCTCTGCTAGGGCTGGCTTACAAGCTAGTTGTCCAGGCCTTAGCCTCCTGAGTAGCCAAGGTTGTAGGCAGGAGTCACCAGGGTCCAGCCAGAGAATCCTCAACCGTCAACCCCATGGCAGTTTTCTCTCTGGGTGGAAAGCCTGGGAACCACCTCGTACCGTCTCCCTTGACTCTCCAAGCCATACTGGATGCTACCACACTGAGGGTCTACATTTGCATATTTTTTCTCCTTTTGTCTCACCACGTAGCCTGAGCTGGCTTTGAACTCATGATCTTCCTGCCTCTCCCTCCCAAAGGCTGAGGTTATAGGCATTTATTACCACACCTGGAGCTTCACCTCAGGGCCTCTCGCTGGGCTTTTTTGCTCATGTCTGGTATTCTGCCACTTGAGCCATGCCTCTACTTCTGGTTTTTTGCTAGTTGTCTGGCGATAAGCAACTCTTGGAATTATCTGTCTGGACTGATTCCAAGCCACGGTTCCCAGACCTGAGCTTTCTGTAGCTAGGAGTCTAGGCACCGGTCACCAGTGCCTGCTGCATGCCTGCTTCTTACCACCTCTCCCGGGCCTCCGCCATCCAGCCGTCTCTCCTTGTGGTGTCAAGAGCAGGGTCGTTGCCCCCCCCTGCTGTAACTTCATTTCCTTAGCGATGATGAGGCCAAGCAAGCACGCACTAGCTTTGCGCAACCGGTGTCCCATGGAAACTTCCACTACAGGGGTGTCTGAAATGGCTTCGCTGTGCCTCTGAAGAGAACTTAAGCTGCCGTATGTCCACTCGGATTAGGCTGCTGGTCTGCGGCCTTCAATCTCTGGATGGGGAACAGAGGAACAGGGTCCTGATGGAGAAGGGCCTGCCTCTCCGACCCCCACCCCCCCATCCCCCCCCCCCAGTCCACAGACTTCCTGTCACCAGGGTGTGAGGGACCGGGGTCTGGACAGAGGACATGACAGGGACATCAGAGCAGCTTGGCCAGTTCCAGGCCCACGCATGGTCTTAGTGGAACAGGCATCTCTGGACAAGCCCACACTGTCCTGCCGCCGGGCCCTTCCGGAACATGCAGCTGTGCTGAACCTCACACATAGAGGCTTAGCTGCTCTCAGGCCACAGCCCATGGCCCCAGTCCAGGTCCTGGGGAAGGCCTCAGTGCCGGTGCCCTGCGCCCGGCGCCCTCCGAACCCCGTGCCTCACCCCTCCCATCAGTATCTTAGATGGCAATCTTTGTTGATAGAAATCCAACTCCACATGCTTTGCTTTCTTCTTTGATCCTTGCTGAGATTAAAGATGAGGTCCCAGGGGAATGTTGCAAGTTCGGGGGCGGGCTCTCACGCGTGGGGGTGCGTGAGCCCTGCTGCCTGCTGCGTGGCAGGGACAGGGACTCATGGCTGCCTTACTGGCCCACACTGGGCCCCACCCCACACCTACGGCACCCAGGCTAGCGTCGGCATTCACGTTGCTTTGCAGCCTGCGCGTTGTCTGGTGTGGGCTCCACTCTGCGCATCAGGTGGCTCCCAGCACCCAGTGATTCCACACTTGTGCTGGAAGAATCTACACAGGCCCCAGGAGCCCCATGGAAGCCCAGGCCTGCTCAGCGCTTGCAACTTGTGAAATCCTGGTGGCAGCAAAGGTCTGAAGATGTCACTCAATCTGGAGCTCAGTTCTCCTCACTTCGTCCTTATCCATGTCCTCCTCTTCCTAGTGATGTGAGCTCCCCGAGGCGGCTGCCTTGTCTGACATCTAGGATCAGATTACTTGCCCCAAGGGGTGGTAAGCAAGCACGCTGGACAAGCAGGCAACTTCTGGTCCCTGCATGTCCAATCCACGTGCCCTGGTGCTAATACTTGCTCACTGCCACTCCCACAGAATGGCTGGTCACAATGTAACCGGGACGTACAAGAGGGGAGGGGATGAGGCTGGGCGGTAGGGACAGAGTGAGGGGGCCAAGACCTCACACAGTCCTTGGGTCCACACTTTCTGTGCTCCTTCATGACCTTCAGTTGATTGAACTCCCGGTCAGTCACAGCCCAAAAGCCCCCGTGGAAGTCCCCTGCTCTGGACGGAGAGGCAGCTTCCCAGATGAGCACCAAGGCCCTGGGGCTGGCAGTCCCCGGACCATAATGTATCTCCGGAAGACCCCACTCTGTTCATGTGTGTCCTTCTGTCCACTGGAGGACCCTCACCTCGCAGGGTGGGCCCTGCAGAGTACCGGCAGGACCTTCCCGGGGTGTTACCAGGCATGAGAGTCTGAGGGTGGCTCCTGTCTGGAGGAGACCTGGAAAGCCCAGAGCAGCCAGAGGCTCAGATGGGCCCCCCACCACATCTCAGATGCCAGCCTGGTCCTGTGGCGGCCAGGGACACAGAGACAGGGAAGCGCCGGTACCTCTGACTGACAGTGGTGCTGTGGAGGCCGGGCCTGCCTGGGGTGGCAGGTGTGAAAACGCACCTGAGCGGTGCACACTGCATAGTGGAGGCCACTGCAGCCACAACGGCCCCGGCCTGTGCCGCTCAGCCGTGGACATGACCTTTTTTTTTGTTTTGTGATGTTGAACTCACCCTGTACAAGCACAGGGTTGACCTGGGAGACACTGTCGTGTGTGTGTGTGTGTGTGTGTGTGTGTGTGTGTGTGTGTGTGGTTGTCACACTGAGAGAGCATGCTGTGGCCGTGGCACGCCCCCTAACATCCACCCTGCCTGGCACAGGCCCTCCCAGGTGGCCAGGCCCGCATGCCCACCGATGGTGCTGCAAAGACCCCCTCAGCCCTGTGCTGGTCACAGAACGACTCCCCATGGACAGGAAGGCCTCAGGATCCACAAATGCCACCGGTGGCCCCATCTCTGCCCAGGCCTGGCCCGGCCAGCCTGGCCCAGCCCTACCGAGGGGACAGGCTCTCCACACCCACCAGAATGCTGGCTCTCCTGGCAGCCGGGGAGGGAGGGCCTCCTGGCTGGGTGGAATGACTCCTCTCCAGAATCTCTGGAACCCGCGCCCTGCGCCAGCCTGGAGGAGCTGTCTGGAGCCTCTTCCCTGATGACTGCTCCACACCGCTCACCCTGCTGCACACCAGCTGTTGGCCACCAGCCCAGATCCCGGGGCAGGAGGGTGCGTCCACTCCAGGTCAGAGAGAGGTTGGTAAGAGGGGTGCGGGTTAGAGCTGAGCTGACGCACCCCACCATGTCTGTTCCGGGCCAGTGCCGCCGCCGCCCCTTTAAGACGGGTCTTGTCATTCCCCCCCACCCACGCGGAGCCCCCCGAGGGTCGTGAGGAGGGAGGTGGGGAGGGACGTGGCGCAGCTGTTACCCCGAGGGGAGGCCGGGCAGGGACGCGGGCGGGGTCAGCGCTGCGGGACCCGCGGGAAGGCGGGGCCGGGCCGGAGGCGGGGTCTGCCCGGTCCAGCGGGGTCCCCGGGCCGGGGGCGGGGCGGGGCGGGGCAGACCCGGGGCGGGGTGAGGGTCGGTGGGGGGGGTGAGACGGGGGGGGGGGGGGGAAGATCGGGGGCGGGGCAGACCCGGGGCGGGGTGAGGGTCGGTGGGGGGGGTGAGACGGGGGAGGGGGGGAGGATCGGGGGCGGGGCAGACCCGGGGCAGGGTGAGGGTCGGAGGAGGGGCTGAGGCCGGGGCTCTGGGCCGGGGGCGGGGCGGGGCAGACCCGGGGCGGGGTGAGGGTCGGAGGGGGGGGCTGAGGCCGGGGCTTTGGGCCGGGGGCGGGGCGGGGCGGGGCGGGGCGGGGCAGACCCGGGGCGGGGTGAGGGTCGGAGGGGGGGCTGAGGCCGGGGCTCTGGGCCGGGGGCGGGGCGGGGTGAGGGGCGGGGGGGGGGGGGGCTGAGGCCGGGGCTCTGGGCCGGGGGCGGGGCGGGGTGAGGGGCCGCGGGGGGGGGGGGGGGGGGGCTGAGGCCGGGGCTCTGGGCCGGGGGCGGGGGCGGGGTGAGGGGCCGGGGGGGGGGGGGGGGAGCTGAGGCCGGGGCTCTGGGCCGGGGGCGGGGCGGGGTGAGGGGCCGGGGGGGGGGGGGCTGAGGCCGGGGCTCTGGGCCGGGGGCGGGGCGGGGTGAGGGGCCGGGGGGGGGGGGGGGGGGGAGCTGAGGCCGGGGCTCTGGGCCGGGGGCGGGGCGGGGCGGGGCGGGGGACGGGACCGACCGGGGGACGGGACCGACCGGGGGCGGGGCCCACCCCGGCCCACTCAGGCGGCGGAGGCGCGGGGCGCGCGGCGCAGGCACCATGGGCTGCTGCTCGGGCCGCTGCACGCTCCTCGCGCTCTGCGTCCTGCAGCTGGTGAGTGCGGCCGCTCCGTCCGCCCGCCGGGGCGCGCCACCCGCGGACACCACGCGGGACGACGGCCGGCCGGCGCCCCGCGTCTGCTCCCCGGCCGCCCGCGGGGGGCGTCGGGGAAGAGGGGCAGGTGCGGGGCGCGACCCGAGCGGAGCCTCCGGCAGCCCCTCGGCGGGCCGCGCTGTCAGCCCGGGGCGGGACGAGGGCCGCGTGCGGCCCGACGGGCGCGGGGCAGCGGAGGGGCAGCGAGGCTCCGTGCGCGAGACTGGCCCGAGGTGGAGGGCGCTCCCGAGGGGAGCCGCCGCGCGCCCCGCCGCTGCGCGCCCCGCCGCCCCCCGCCGCCCCGCCGCCCCCCGCCGCCCCCCGCCGCCCCGCGCCCCCCGCCGCCGCCCCGCCCCCCCCCCCACCGCCCCGCGCCCCCCACCGCCCCGCGCCCCCCACCGCCCCGCGCCCCCCCACCGCCCCGCCGCCCGCCGCCCCCCCGCCGCCCCCCGCGCGCCCCACCGCCCCCCCGCCCCCCGCCGCCCCCCCGCCGCCCCCCGCCCCCCCCCACCGCCCCGCGCCGCCCCCCGCGCGCCCCGCCGCCCCCCGCCCCCCCCCACCGCCCCGCGCCGCCCCCGCCGCCCCGCCGCCCCTCGCGCGCCCCGCCGCCCCCCGCGCGCCCCGCCGCCCCCCGCCGCCCCGCCGCCCCCCGCCGCCCCCCGCCCCCCCGCGCGCCCCGCCGCCCCCCGCCGCCCCCCGCCCCCCGCGCGCCCCGCCGTCTGTGCGCCCCGCCGCCCCGCCGCCCCCCGCGCGCCCCGCCGCCCCCCGCCGCCCCGCCGCCCCCCGCCGCCCCCCGCCCCCCGCGCGCCCCGCCGCCCCCCGCGCGCCCCGCCGCCCCCCGCGCGCCCCGCCGTCTGTGCGCCCCGCCGCCCCCCGCGCGCCCCGCCGTCTGTGCGCCCCGCCGCCCCCCGCCGCCCCGCCGTCTGTGCGCCCCGCCCCCCCCCCGCCGCCCCGCCCCCCCCGCCGCCCCGCCGCCCCGCCGCCCCCCCCCGCCGCCCCGCCGCCCCGCCGCCCCGCCGCCCCGCCGCCCCGCCGCCCCGCCGCCCCGCCGCCCCGCCGCCCCCCGCCCCCCCGCCCCCCCGCCGCCCCGCCGCCCCCCGCCCCCCCGCCCCCCCGCCCCCCCGCCGCCCCCCCCCCCGCCCCACCGTCTCGCCGCCCCGCCGTCTATGCGCCCGGGGAGGCGCGGCGGGCCCGCGTGCGGAGCCTGGCCGGAGCGGGCTCCGGACAAAGGTGTCGCGGAGATGCTGATGGAGGGCCCTGGGTCTAGGGTCCGCGTCCCGGGGCCGGGCGCGCGTGGGCCCCGTCTGGACGCCGTGCCTCGGCCGCCCGGAGGGAAGAGCTGCGGAGCGGTGTGGTTGGCGGGCGCGGGGAGGAGGGCGGGCGGGCTCGCCAGCCTCGGAGCTGGGCCCAGCTGTCCCCCAGGGCTGGCGTCCCGCCTCGCCAGGGTAGATGGGCGCTGGCTCTGGGTTCAGTGTGTGGAATTTGGTGAGGACACATCTGGGGTCGACAAGTGTCTGGGATGAGGCAGGAGAAACGGGGCTCGGGTCCCGTGGGGGTTTTATGGCCGAGTGTTGGGATCTGTGGCAGGACCTGGGAAATTGGGTCCCAGCTGAGAAGGAAAGAGGCCTCTTGGCTGAAGGGCAGCCGGGCTTCCCTGGACGGGATTCTGCCAAGCTAGTCTCTGGTCCAGGCCAGCTTCAGGGACCAGGCAGACCTTGTCCCTGGCTGCGTCTATTAGGGCCGCAGCCGGAATGCAGCGGGGAGTTGTCAAAGGCCTTTTGTCCTGGCCCGGGGGCCGTTGGGGACTGTCCACCCTCCTCTGCTCTGGGAGGAACACTACTTTGGTCTCTGCTGGGGGAGAGGCCCGGCCTCCCCCCCCTCCCCCTTGTTCGGACAAGCCTGAGAGTTTTGTTACCAAGTTACAAGGACAAAAAGCCCAAGCAGCTTTGGAGAACAGTGTGAACTCCGCAGGCCCTGAGCCAGCTGATGCTAGACCCGTTCACAGACCGCCTTCTGCTCTCAGGCAGAGACAGAGGAGCCCCGGGCTGCAAAGGGTTTAGGGTGGGGTTCTGTAGGGCCACCAGAGCCTCATGATTGTGGATGGCCACGGGACCACCAAGAGTCTCGGGCAGCCCTGGCTCAGGGATAACCCTGCCCCCCCCCTCCGCCACCCCCCATCTCCAAGGTGCGGCTGTCCCTCCGCCTGGGCCTCCTAGACTCCAGGGAGGCCCTGTGAGCTGAGAGCTGCCTCATTAGCCCTCTCTCGCCATTCCTCTCCATGGGCCTCAGGGAGGGCAGACATCCCTACCCAGTGCTTAGTGTCCTCCAGGCAGGAAGGTGAGGCCTGGGTTTGGATATTGGATTCGTTCTGGGTGTAGACACAACTTGTCAGCCATGTGTGTGCCCCTCTGGTGGGGACCCCTGGCGCGGCCTGGGCCCCGCCCCCACCCCAGATCTTTGCCCTCCCCACACCTTGCACGTGTGCCCACAGAACCCGTGGAGACTGCGCCTGTCCGTGCCTAAGTGTGGAATTACCGGCTCTGATCCTTGGGGTCCCAGGTGCGCAGGAGCCTGGCATGCAGCCTCAGTCCTTCCTGCCCTCACTGCCCAGGCCCAGGGCTCTTGGCAAGTCAGGGAGATGCCAAAACTTCCTAAGTGAGAACCATCTGCATGCGCGCTTCCTCGGGGCACTGGGGAGATGTCCTGGAGAGTGACGCTGATGCGCGGCTCCTTCCAGGCCGTGGACTCTGCCCTGGGTCACCGCCCTACCTGGCCGGTGTGCGCTGCACTGCCTGGCACACAGGTCCCCGGTTCTGGATGGAGTGTGGGGGATGGAAGGCCCCTCTGCCTGGGTGGGCCCAGAGTGAGGGCTGCCATCGCTTGAGACCAGGACTCCCCAGGACTGGGGAGGAGGCCAGTGGACAAGGCCCCCTTGCCTGAGTGAGGAGCTTGGACAGAGCCCCCAGGTGCTGGGCGTTGTATGAAGGGCAGTGCCGCGGCTCCCAGAGGGGGCTGTGTGGGTAGGCTCCAGTCCTTCCACAACAGTCCTGGCACTGCCAGACACCCTCAGCCCCACCCCGTGAGCTCACTGAGCCCTGGTGAGCTAGCCTTCCAGGCCTGGGGCACCGTGGAGCAGAGCCGGAGGAGGGGCTGGTTCTGGACTTCAGCTTAAAAAAAAGTTAGAAAGGGCTGGGAAGGTGGCTCAGTGGTAGAGTGCTTGCCTCACATGCATGAGGCCCTGGGTTCAATTCCTCAGCACCACATAAGCAGAAAAAGCTGGAAGTGGTGCTGTGGCTTCAGTGGTAGAACGCTAGCCTTGAGCTGAAGAGCTGAGGGACAGCGCCCAGGCCCAGAGTTCAGGCCCCATGACCGGCAAAAAAAAAGTTAGAAAAACACCCATGGACAAATCTGGGAATGGCAGGGTCAGAAAAACACCCATGGACAAGTCTGGGAATGGCAGGGTCAGAAGCCCCTCAGGCCCCAGTTGCCTGGCGGCCTGACCCACCCTGCGTGGGAGCAGGCATGCCCCCCCCCCCCCGCACGCTCCTGCGGGTGTTTATGCAGACACAGGGCCCATGTGCAGCCCAGGCAGGAGCCCCGCACTCTTCTGAAGCCACAGGAAAAGCGGCCCCGGGCTGGGTCCTCCTCAGGCCGTCCTGCCCGGGCTGTCCCAGGGACTGTTCTGTGGCCAGCACGGAGGCCCTGGCAGGTGAGCTCCTTGTGAATGGGAGGCCTAGCTCCCCCTGGCACTCGTGGCTGTGAGCCCCAGATCTGGCTGGACAGGGGTGGTGTGAACGCACCTGTCCAGCACCTGTCCGAGTCTGCCTGGCCGCAGGGACAGGCCCTCCGTGGTCTGCCTGTGGGGGTGGGGCCAGGTCAGGACTGTGGTCCACCCTGTCAGGGTCACGGCAGAGCCGGGACAAAGAGCAGGCTTCTTCAGCAACACAAGGAAGAGATGCTGTGGGGTGCAGCGAGGGCAGACCTGCGGGCTCCCGGCCCACCCACGGCTTGCTCTCCATCAGCTCTTGCAGGGGAATCGCATGGTGCGAATGCCACCCCGGCCACGTCTCCTGGGACTCGCCCGCGCCCGCGCCTCATTCCCCATCATGCACGGCCGCCACAGTGACATTTTTCTGAATCATTTGAAAAGTTGGCCTTCTTTCCCATGAGCACCCGGGAAGTGTCCAGTGTGGGTCTGTCCCACAGCCTGGGAAGCGCTCCTGTCTGTGTAGATCTGTCCTGCAGCCTGGGAAGCGCTCCTGTCTGTGTAGATCTGTCCTGCAGCCTGGGAAGTGCTCCTGTGTAGATCTGTCCTGCAGCCTGGGAAGTGCTCCTGTCTGTGTAGATCTGTCCTGCAGCCTGGGAAGTGCTCCTGTCTGTGTAGATCTGTCCTGCAGCCTGGGAAGCGCTCCTGTCTGTGCAGATCTGTCCTGCAGCCTGGGAAGCGCTCCTGTGTAGATCTGTCCCGCAGCCTGGGAAATGCTCCTGTGTAGATCTGTCCTGCAGCCTGGGAAGTGCTCCTGTCTGTGTAGATCTGTCCTGCAGCCTGGGAAGCGCTCCTGTCTGTGTAGATCTGTCCCGCAGCCTGGGAAGTGCTCCTGTGCAGATCTGTCCTGCAGCCTGGGAAGTGTTCCTGTCTGTGTAGATCTGTCCGGCAGCCTGGGAAGCGCTCCTGTCTGTGTAGATCTGTCCCGCAGCCTGGGAAGCGCTCCTGTGCAGATCTGTCCTGCAGCCTGGGAAGCGCTCCTGTCTGTGCAGATCTGTCCTGCAGCCTGGGAAGTGCTCCTGTGTAGATCTGTCCTGCAGCCTGGGAAGTGTTCCTGTCTGTGTAGATCTGTCCTGCAGCCTGGGAAGCGCTCCTGTCTGTGCAGATCTGTCCTGCAGCCTGGGAAGCGCTCCTGTCTGTGTAGATCTGTCCTGCAGCCTGGGAAGCGCTCCTGTCTGTGTAGATCTGTCCTGCAGCCTGGGAAGTGCTCCTGTGTAGGTCTGTCCTGCAGCCTGGGAAGCGCTCCTGTCTGTGTAGATCTGTCCTGCAGCCTGGGAAGCGCTCTAGTCTGTGTAGATCTGTCCTGCAGCCTGGGAAGTGCTCCTGTGTAGATCTGTCCTGCAGCCTGGGAAGTGCTCCTGTCTGTGCAGATCTGTCCTGCAGCCTGGGAAGCGCTCCTGTCTGTGCAGATCTGTCCTGCAGCCTGGGAAGCGCTCCTGTGTAGATCTGTCCCGCAGCCTGGGAAATGCTCCTGTGTAGATCTGTCCTGCAGCCTGGGAAGTGCTCCTGTCTGTGTAGATCTGTCCTGCAGCCTGGGAAGTGCTCCTGTCTGTGTAGATCTGTCCTGCAGCTTGGGAAGCGCTCCTGTCTGTGTAGATCTGTCCCGCAGCCTGGGAAGTGCTCCTGTGCAGATCTGTCCTGCAGCCTGGGAAGCGCTCCTGTCTGTGTAGATCTGTCCCGCAGCCTGGGAAGCGCTCCTGTGCAGATCTGTCCTGCAGCCTGGGAAGCGCTCCTGTCTGTGCAGTCTGTCCTGCAGCCTGGGAAGTGCTCCTGTGTAGATCTGTCCTGCAGCCTGGGAAGTGCTCCTGTCTGTGTAGATCTGTCCTGCAGCCTGGGAAGCGCTCCTGTCTGTGCAGATCTGTCCCGCAGCCTGGGAAGCGCTCCTGTGCAGATCTGTCCTGCAGCCTGGGAAGTGCTCCTGTCTGTGTAGATCTGTCCTGCAGCCTGGGAAGCGCTCCTGTGTAGATCTGTCCCGCAGCCTGGGAAGCGCTCCTGTCTGTGTAGATCTGTCCTGCAGCCTGGGAAGCACTTCTGTCTGTTTAGATCTGTCCCGCAGCCTGGGAAGTGCTCCTGTGTAGATCTGTCCCGCAGCCTGGGAAGTGCTCCTGTGTAGGCCTGTCCCGCAGCCTGGGAAGCGCTCCTGTCTGTGTAGATCTGTCCTGCAGCCTGGGAAGCACTTCTGTCTGTGTAGATCTGTCCCGCAGCCTGGGAAGTGCTCCTGTGTAGGTCTGTCCTGCAGCCTGGGAAGCGCTCCTGTCTGTGTAGATCTGTCCTGCACCCTGGGAAGCGCTCCTGTCTGTGTTGATCTGTCCCGCAGCCTGGGAAGTGCTCCTGTCTGTGTAGATCTGTCCTGCAGCCTGGGAAGTGCTCCTGTCTGTGTAGATCTGTCCTGCAGCCTGGGAAGCGCTCCTGTGTAGATCTGTCCTGCTGCCAGAGATGGCAGCCCCGCGTCCTCTGTTCAGGCCTCACTCTGGGCATCTGTGAGGAGGGGGCTGGGCTGGAGCTGCTGCCTGGAGCAGTCAGCAGCTTCTGTGGACAGCATCATAGCCTGGCAGCTGGCGCACAGTGGGGAGCTGGCACCCCGTGAACCTCTCGCGTCCCTCTCTCTCCTTGTTGCGTTCAGTCAGCTTGGCAGGAACAGGAGGCTGGGCCAAGCAGCCAGCTGACCAGCTGACTCTGGGTCCTGAGAATGGCCCTGTAAGGAACTGCTCAGCCACTACAATTCAGGGGTTCCCCTTGTGCTCAGGGACATCTCTCCCCAGAGACCAGGGCGTGTCTCTAGTGATAGGAACGTGGTGCATAGAGACCCTCTAGGTGCAGGCAGCTACAAGATGCAGAACAGCTCCTACGTGGGGCCAGCAAGTGGGTGTGGACCTTAGTGGAGGTAACAGGTATGGGCATTGGGGGGGGCTCAGTGGGGGTGGGCGGTGGGTAGGGGTGTTCTGAGGTAGGTAAGGGCATCAGGGAAGACTGGACAGTTCCCGGTGCTGGTGGCCCCTCTGCTCCTGCCTCCCACCAGCAGGCATCTCCATGGCTGCCTCCCAAAAGGGAAGTGTGGGATGGGCCCCTCCTGAGACAGGGCAGCCCGGAGGGAATGCCCACCACAGCTGTTTCCTGCGGACCTGCGGAGGCTCCAGGACGAGGCCCCGAGCAGCGAGGAGGGGCCAGGGTGGAGGAAGGACAAAGCCCTGGTTAGGGGTCAGTGCTGGTGGCCAGCTGGCCCAGGGTGGGACGGAGCCGCAGAGCCTGTCCTGCCCCGTGGGGGTGGGAGGCTGCCCTTCGCCAGCTGCCCTCTAGGACATCTAGTGTGGTGACACCTCCCCGCACGGATGCTGGACGCCCAGTGGCATCTGGGGCGCTCAGCCCTGGCTCAGCCCCAGGCTGCTTCCCGCTCAGCGCGCTGTCTCCCAGGATGTGGCTGGGCCTCTCCAGGCCTTCTCAGATGCTCCTTCCTTTCCTGACCACAGCCGCCCTGGCTTCCGGGGAAGTGCTGGGATGCCATGGGTTTGGTCTGCACCTGCACGTGGGCCGAAGGAGGGGTGCGGGGTGCGTGGTGTGTGGAGCCCTGCAAAGAGGGGTGTGGGTGGGTGGTGTGTGGGTGAGGGATGAATGCTCTTTTCAGCTGGCTTCCTCCAAGAAATGGGGTTCCCCAAGAATGGTTGCGTGTCATCCCTTCCTTCCTATTGGTCACTCTCTGCTGGCCTGAAGGGCCAGGGTCCAGAGCTGTCCCAGCACGGAGGAGAGGCCAGCCATGTCAGGACATAGAGCTATCTTAGCCCCTGCTATCCCCAGAGCTCCGCCGAGCTGGCAAACGGACGGGAGCCGTTCGTTCCCCCAGGACTCAGTGAGGCTCCCGCCGCTGTTGGCCAGCGCCCCGTAGGAGCCCTACAGGGCCTGAATGGCTTGTGGATCGGTGCTTCCTCTTTGTTGGGTCCCCTCACTGGGTACTCCCATTCTTCAGATGGGGAGTGGAGGGGGAGAGAGAGGGGAGGGCGTTCAGGGAGGAAATCCTCAGTGGCGATGGTGGGCCAGGTAGACTTGAAGGGTCTTGTCTGAAGAATTCCAGCGCCAGCCTGAGCATAAGGACCAAGTCAGAATCGTGGCCCATCTAACGTAGCTCTCTCGTGCGTGACTCCTTCTAGGTTACTGCCCTGGAGAGGCAGGTGTTTGACTTCCTGGGCTACCAGTGGGCGCCCATCCTGGCGAACTTTGTCCACATCGTCATGGTCATCTTGGGGCTCTTCGGCACCATCCAGTACCGGCCACGCTACATAGTGGCGGTGAGTCCCCGGTGCTGCTGGCTTGCAGCGCTGGCTCCTGCTGTCCAAGAGGCCACTGGGCACACTGCAAGGGCCAGCCACACCCTGTGCTCAGACTTTTCCCTGTCTGGAACTCTAGAATTCCAACTTGTAGCCTTTTCTTTTCTCGTGTGTGTGTGTGTGTGTGTGTGTGTGTGTGTGTGTGTGTGTGTGCGTTTGTGTGTGTGTGTGTGTGTATTGGTCGTGGGGTTTGAACTCTGGGCCTGGGCACTGACCCTCAGCTCTTCAGCTCAAGGCTAGCTTTCTACCACCCCAGCACCACTTCCGGCTGTTTCTGCTGATGTGGTGCTGAGGAATGGAACCCAGGGCCTCATGCATGCAAGGCAAGCGCTCTACCACTGAGCCACCTTCCCAGCCCTTCTTTTCCCTTCTTTTTTTTTTTTTTTTTTTGTCAGTCGTGGGGCTTGAACTCTGGGCCTGGGCACTGTCCCTCAGCTCTTCAGCTCAAGGTGAGCGCTCTACCACTTGAGCTACAGCGCCACTTCCGGTTTTTTTCTGGTGGTTTATTGGAGATAGGAGTCTCACGGTCTCTCCTGCCCGGGCTGGCTTTGAACCGCGATCCTCAGATCTCAGCCTCCTGAGTAGCTAGGATTACAGGCGTGAGCCACCAGTGCCTGGCTTCTTTTCCCTTCTTAAAAATTGTTTTATAAAGGTGGCATACGGAGTGGTTACAGTTTCACGTCGCTTTTTCAGCGACTGCTTCCAGGAGGAGCCGTGTGCATCCGGTGCCCAGGCCCTTAGCATATTCACGGCTTCAGAAGCTGGACAGGGGAGGGTGTGGCCTCTGCTCACAGATGGGGCGCCGGCACCTGCCCAGTGTTGCGTGGTGATTGGGTCCCAGCCCACGCCGTGCGCTGACTTATGCACAGCTGTGCCGGGTCTGAGTCTTTTTTGCAGCGGATCAGGTGTTCGCTGTGTGAGCGCTGTAGGCCACAGTCTCTGCTGAGGCTACTCAGCACTGCCACAGCAACCTGGTCCTTCCCTCCCTCCCCCCCCCCCCCCCCAGCCTCCTTCTGCAGCAGGCTCTCACTGTGAATCCCAGGCTAGCCAGGACTGGGACGGTCCTGTGCTCCCTAGTGCACCATGGCCAGGGTGCCCAGGTGGGGTGGAGTCCTACGCTCAGCGGCAGTGTGGAAAGCCTGCCAGGGACTCTATTGCCTGTTCAGAGTGTGCTTTTCCAAGCCAAGCACCATGGGGCCGTCAGGCCTGGGGTGCTCATGGGCCCTTCTGCAGGGGACCGCGCCCCCACACTGCAGGGGGCTGCGCCCCCACACTCCGAGGCTCAACCTGAGCTCCCACCTCTCTCCTCTCCCTAGTACATTGTGTGGGCAGCTGTCTGGATCACCTGGAATGTCTTCATCATCTGCTTCTACCTGGAAGTAGGGGGCCTCTCGAAGGCGAGTGAGGATGGGAACGGGACCCCATGGGGCTGCCTGCTGGCTGCGCATCTCCCCATGGGCAGGGAACGGGACCCCCTGGGGCTGCTGCCAGTGCGGGACTGCCTGCTGGCTGTGCATCTCCCCACGGGCAGGGGCTTGCCCTGCTCACAGCCTGGTTCTCGGCACCAGGACTGTCTTGGCTGGCACGGGTGCTGCGGTGAGCGGCTGGGAGGCACTGTGGGAATCTGCAGGAGGGCTTTCTGTGAGAAAGGGGGACGGGAACTTGGGTGGCGTCTGGGAGGAGGTGGGGCTGAAGGCAGGGCCGAGGCCAGCCTGGCAGAGGTGTGTGGGTGGGCAGGGCCGAGGGGGCTGGGCAGAGCCGGGGTGCAGGCTGAGCAGACCTCACCCTGCCCTGGCCAGCCGCAAAGCCTGCCCGAGCAGACAGCAGGCCCTGGCAGCCTTGCTCCCCTGCAGCGGAGGTGCCAGCTGGGCCGAACCCGGGCTGTGCCTGGCTCCCTGCCTGGGGCTCAAGGCTGGAGGGGGAGCTGGATTGTGACTGCTCTGAGGGGGCCCACACGCCTGGGGCGCAGTCAGAGAGACTGACAGGAGGCCAAATGCTTGAAGGAGGGGTGAGGGAGGCTCTGAGCCCCAGAGAGCAAGTCCTAGGGCCTTCCGGGAAGAGGGGTGTGAGGGCCAGGCGCTTCCCGCAGAGGAGCAGCCCTGTTGCTGCAGCCTCCGCGGACGGGGTGGGCCAGGAGGGGCTGTCCTCGTGCGGGCCGCGGGGGGTGTGACGCTGCCTCTCCGTGCTAACCTATTCTCCCCCCACACCCCCTCCTCAGGACAGTGAGCTCCTCACCTTCAACTTGTCCCGGCAGCGCTCCTGGTGGCGCGAACACGGGCTAGGCTGTGTGCGTGCACGTGAGGAGAAGGCTGCGGCGGGCCTCGGGGTCCAGCCTGACCAGGCCCTGGTGTCGGGAGGCCTCTGCGCCCTGGAGCACAGCTATGTGGAGGCTCTGCACAGCGGTCTGCAGATCCTGGGGGCTGTGAGTATGGGGTCAGAGCCAGCAGGACAGGAGGAGGCATGGCGGCGGTGTGGGGTTGGGACTCCTCCAGGCTCTGGTCCTTCCTTGCACTCAGAAGGACCAGCTTTCCTCTGTGTTGGACATTGGCCTCCTTGTCATCCCAAGAGGCCAAGGGACCGCCAGTGGGCTCCAAGAAGCACCCCCCCCCCCAGGGGGCTCGGAACCAGCCACAACCGCAGTCTCTGATGCTGTGGTGCTCAACAGGGCTGGGTGGAGCCCAGCCGGTTGAGGCTGCTCCATGGGTCTGGATGGCTCCTTGTTTACTCTTCATGAGATTCAGGCCTCTGCCTCCCAGAGTCTCAGGGAGGTGGCACAAGTTCTCATTTCCCCAGGAAGAGCAGATGGTAGGAGAAGAGGCTGATGAGCAGGTACTGAGCACAGGACTTCCACGCGCCGAGGCCCCCTCTGTAGGCTGGTCACATCCCGCAGGCACAGGCTGGGATGGAATTAGGACACCCCCAGCTCCGTTGAACTTTATCTTAATACCCTGCAGAGCCTATGTTCCCAAATTAGAGGTGTGGTCAGGTCCGAGGTGAGGACGTGGGCACGCACGTTCTTGCTGCCACCTCCTTGGCCTCCAGCCCCGGAGGACTGAAGCACAAGCCACTGCCCAGGCCGCGCAAGCCCCTTTCCAGTGCTTTGTTCTGCTTGCCGGGTGAGGGCAAAGACTGCCCAGATGCTGCTCCGGCTCTGCTGCCGTAGAAAGGAGGAGCATGCGCTCCCCAGGCAGACAGCATCCTGCTTCCCGACCTGTGCTTGTCCTGGCTGCTGCCCCTGACCTGTGCAGATCACAGAAGCTGCCAACCGAGCTTCCAGAACCCCAGCCTGGACCACTGAGTTCCTGCCGCTCATCCACACCTGACCTGGCCAGGGGCTCCCTGGCCCTGGATGAGGAGCCGCAGTTTGAGAGGACAGAACTGGACTACCTTAGTCCCTCAGGCACTCCGGGGGCAGTGGACGGCAGCAGGCGGGCCGCACCAGCGCCGTGGCCGTGTCCCCTTCCCCTGTGTCTCCTTAGGGAGCCACCGGCCTCTCGGGGCTTGGGCTGCCATTCCCATCCCATATGGGTCCTTTTGGCGTAGACTTGATGGGGCAGGAGGTGGGGAGGGACGCAAGGATCAGGAAGGTGCTGAGTCGGCCTTCAGCAGCATCCGCCGGGTCATGGGTCCGGCAGCCTCGGGGCTCTCGCTGGAGGAGCCCGCAGGTCTGCAGGCTCCCTGGCCTGCTCAGTGTGCGCTCAGCACCAGCACCGGACTGCCTGGCCGGCGTTGGATCTCGTGTGTGTATCCTGACTTGGTTGGGGCTCAGAAGAGCAGAGATGGCATCCTCGGGCCAGAACGCTCCCTGGTTAGGGGAGGGGCTGTACGCAGAGTCACGGTCTCCTGAGGCTCACAACAGCACCGGGCCTGAAGGGGTGCAGGAAAGGGGCCACAAGGCCGGCTTCTGCTCCACCCTCCGGGCGGCTCCCCGTGGTCAGCAGAGACGGTGTCTATGCGCGCCGCCTATGCGCGCCGCCGGCAGGTGGGCCAGGAGCAGGTGCAGCTCCTACACAGGCTGAGTGCCAGGGCTGGTGGAGAGCTCGTAGCTCTGGGAGGACCTGGCTTTTGTAGGCTGACACTGCGCAAGCCACCTCACACGCTTCCTGCGTGCAGGAAGGGAGCCTTGCCGCGGCTCTGCTCAAGAGTCTCGCCAGCGTGACCATCAAGTGCCCACGTGTTCCTGCTGACCTGGGCAGGGATCCCTTCTGAAGCTTGGGGTCTCAGGAGGCAACGTAGATCAGTTCTCCTGTTACAGAGGGGAGACCGAGGCCCGGAGAGGCGGGGTCGCCTGGGGCCATCCACGGGCTCCCTTCCCTGGCACTGCAGCACACTCGCCCGCAGCCCTCACCCCTGCTCCGCCGTGTCTTCCAGCTCCTGGGCTTCATCTACGGCTGCTATGTGGTCAGTGTGTTTACAGAGGAAGAAGACAGCTGTGAGTCGCTTCCCCCGCAGCCTGTCGGTGACACATCCAGGTCCCCTGGGCTGTGTGACAGCTCCGAGTCCTGTCCCCGTCTGGGGCAGGGCCTGAGTCCCTCACTGCTGTTCCCATGCCTCACCCCTGCCTCAGGTCCAGAGACTCGAGAAGAGCTGAGGTCTAGGGTGCAACCACCTCCCTCCCAGACCTAAGGGCTTCTGTCTGATGGAGCCAGGCCCCCAGACCCCACAACTGCCCTGGGAGGAAGGCCCAGCCCAGGGGCACAGCTCGCACCGCCTACTGGTCAGAGGTGCCCACTTCAGGCCTCAGTACTAGGCAGCCCCACGGGGCCCTCTCCTTCCCATCCCCTGAGACTTTTACAACCCGACATGGCAAGACTCTGGAGACCCCGTGGGGCCTCTGGCCCGGAGTGGTCTCACCAGAAGATGCTGCAGAGAAGGAACAGAGGGAGATGGCCCACAGCTCCTGTGGATAGGACCTTCCCCAGCGTCAGAGCCAATTTGTCCCTGGGAGTTGGGCCCACACTACCCTGAAACTAGGGCTTGATTCCCGGGGCCAGCGGCGTTCCTGCAGCTGTGCTCTGGGTCCTAGCAGCCATCAGACAGCCGCAGAGGAGGGAGCCACAGGAGCCCTGCTTGCCCACTGCACTGAGACCGCCAGGACTGGGTGCTCTGCCCACAAAGCCAGCCGTCACCCCTGAGGCAGCGGCCTCAAGGGTGGACGCGGGGTGCTAGGGAGGTCATGGGGTGAGCCGGGGAGTCTGGCCTGGTGTGTGGTCCTGCCAGCCCTGTCTGGGGCCAGGCCATCTTCTCTGCCTGCCCGCCTGCCCACCCGGGCCTTCTGGCCGGCCGCCCGGCTCGCGCCTCCCCCAGGCCCTCCGGTCCCTCCGTGGCACAGAGGGGAAGGTGTCCTTGGCTGTTTTCCATGCTATCATCTTTTCCATCATTTGGGTTTTATTTGGGTCTTGATTTCTTTCAGTTGATTTCATTGGTGGATTTGACCCTTTCCCTCTGTACCATGTCAATGAAAAGCCGTCCGGCCTCTTGTCCAAGCAGGCGCGATTGTAAGTATGGCCCCCGAGCCTGTTCACAGCTGACCTGCGGGTCAGGTGGTGCTCACAGCACAGGGCCCCCCCTTCCAGGGTGCCGGCAGGCTCCCGTCCACCCACCCAGCCGTCCGTCACTCACCCCCTGGGTTACAGTACAGCACCTGGAGGGCTCCGCTCCGCTTCCTGCCTGGGACCCAGCAGTGCTGGGCCTGTGGGAGTCAGGCCCTGAGGCACAGGGGGAGGGGGAGGGCTCCCGTAGCCACTTCCAGGTGTGGGGGGTCGCTTTCCTCTTTGGGGAGTTCAGACTTCTTTTCCTCACTGAAAAGGCTGTCCAGAGCCCTCAGGCTGGGCAGAGTCCCTGGCTCCGAGCCCCCAGCACACCACTGTGCAGTCAGATTCGCCCTGACGTGCAAAGGGAAGCTGGGCTCCCTTGGTGAAGCCACCTGCTCCCGCTGCCCCGGGCCGCGGCTGGCTCTCGGCTACCCTCCTGAGTCTGAAAGCCCAGGCCGTCCTGGCCCAGGGACATCCGAGGGGGAGGAGTGCAGCTCCCAGGAGAGATGAGGAAAGCAGGTGGGGCTGGCCGCACACAGGCCCCGGCCAGGAGGTCACCAGGCTGGATGACTAAAGCACATGCAACCCATGCTGCGTGTGTCTGGTCTCCTGACCCTGGGGCAGACCTGCGGGGCCCTGGGTAGGCAAAAAGACCCAAGCCCTGTTTCCCAGCCCCAAGCCCAACCTCTACCAAGAGGGCTGTGGCCAGAGCCTTTCCTGCCCTGGGCACGTCCCCTGGCCGCCCACACGTCTGTTCGTGGGTTTTGTGACACTAGCATTTCAAGAACTCGAGGCAGGCAGGTCCTTCCCCTGCCCCCTTCTCTGACCGCCCCCTTTCCTGCAGGCCCGCGTAAGTGAAGAGGCCCTGAACCCGTTCCTGAGACCTGACCTCGGCCTGGGACTGAGGCGGGGCCCGGCCACTGCAGACAGGCTCCTGCCCACCTCACCAGGACGCTGGCCTGGTGCCCGTGTAGGGTGGGTGATTTCTGTTTTCTAAAAAAAAAAAAATGAAAACAAGAACATGGCAGCCCCCGTTCCTTGCTGGAGTTTCATCCCCATCACAGCTTGGATGGTTTCTGAGGAGTCCTCCTCCACTGCCCTGCCCCGGGCAGCCGCACTGCAGCCTGAGCCCCTGCTGCTGGGGTATGAAGAGCTCCCAAGGGGCAGCGAGAAGGGAAGACGGAATCCCACCAGCAAGTCCGGGTGCGCCACTGTGACCCTTGAGCTGTAAGCCTCACCGCTCTGAATAAATACCTCTTGCTGCCTTACCTACAGCTCTTCTCGGATGAAGCCCACCTCCCAGCCCCCCAGAACTGAGGCTACCCGTCCCTGCGAGGGCCGGGCACAGGGAATGCTGGGGCCGTGAGCAGGACAAGCTTTCTTCTTGGCACTTTGGGCAGAGTCCTGAAGAACCTTCAAGTACCTACAATTAGGTAGACAAAAAGGACCCCACTCTCCAACTCACCCTTCTCCAGGACACAGGGGCTTAGAGGGTAATCAGAAGGAGGGTCTCTTCAAGGATATGCACGAGACTAGTCCCTGCTGAACATCCACAGAATCTTGAAGAGACAGGACACCCCTGGGGTGGGGGTGTCCCTCTATTTTATTTATCTTCAGAAAGTATCCAAAAACTACAGTAAAGCCACTCTCTACACCAAGTGGGGTGGTCCTCCACCCCAGGCTTCAGTCCAGGAATTCAAGCTGGTGCGCGGTAGGCACTGGTCACTCAGCATCCTTTGCAGACGCACCGAGAGCTGGGGAAAGGCAGAGGCAGGCCTGGTACCTGCTCGGGGGCACAGTGCCTGCAAGATGCAGAGCGAGTGTCAGTGCACCGCTCCTTGTCAGCCAAGCCCGGGGCCTCAGCACCCGGGAGGCTCTGACTGGCCGCTTTGGCAGGTCCTGGGAGCACACTGGCCTTCGAGAGCCCTGAGCAGGCAATGGCTCCTAGTCAGTATGGGCATCACCCACATTGCTAAGCTTGGGGTCCCTGCAAAGCCCCGGGTACACGTCTAGGCCCCAGCCCTGCCGCTTCACTACTCTATAGCATCATAACTCTATAACCAACGTCCCTGGGCCTGGCGGAATTCCTGGACATGACTTGACAGGGCAGGAAGTGCGAGCCCAGGCTCCCTGCGGCGGGCAGGGCATGCCGGCCCAGGACCCCGTGCTGGATCTAGGAAGCCAGTGAGGCAGTAGGTTGGCTGGGAGTGGAGGCGTAAGGAAAGCGGCCCTGGCTTCCCGGCACGGCTGTTGGTCTCAGCACTCAGGAGAAGGGGCTCCTGGGAGCAGCCGGGACGCTCACCTGGCCTAGGACAGGAAGGTGCGCACACAGCTGCAGATGGGAGCCCTGCAGATGGGGCACTGCTGCAGGCTGGGGGCACAGTCAGCACAGGCCAGGTGGCCACAGGGAACGAAGACGACAGACGTGGCACGGTCCCAGCACACCTTGCACATCCTCTCTTCCTGGAGTCGCCGCAGCTGCTCTTCCGCATCCCGGATTCCTGGGGGCTCGAGAGCCCACAGGCACCCTTAGGTCCTGGGATTGGCTGGCTCCTTGAGAGCTGGGACATGGGCCCACCCTATCTGTGTGACCAATGGGAGCGTCAACCAGGCCCACAAGTGGCCTCTGCCCGCCCCACCTGCCCAGGCTGGAGGGGGGCAGCTAAACCTGGTCCCATCCCCCAGGTCGGCCCCTGGCTGCACCTGGCTCCCTGCTTTCACCGGGTTCTCTGGCACATTCAGGCTGGGTCTCTCCTCTGGGTTCGGAGTCAGGGTCTCTGTGGACAGGACCTGTGGGCAGTTAGGAATGGACTTGAGCCCTGGCCCCTGAGTGGAAAGTGAGGCCCAGCTCAGAGACAGGCCTGGCAGCCAGGAAGATCTGGTTTTGCCCCTGAGAGTGGGCAGGCCTGGCTCGGGAGTGCCTGAAGCGCTACGCCTCAGGCCCGAGGCTGGAGTGGGGCACCAAGAAAATGGTCCCTCTTCCAGGGCTTTCCGCACATACTCGTTGGGCAGTGGCCAGAGGTGTTGCATGCTGGGACTGCTGGCAAGAAGAGAAAGAGGTGGGAGGCAGGAAGTGTCCAGGGGGCGGAGATGCCTCTGGCCCCTGCCACCTTGTCTCCACTTTCTTCCTGGAGCAGGTCAGCCACTGGCTGTGATGCAGACATGCTGAGTGCATGTGGGTACTTCCTCCATGCTGGCCACTTTTGGTAGCGAGGGAAGGGCAGAGGTCCAGGTCACAGAGAGAGGCCTGTGGCCTGCCAGGGAATGCCATCAACACTTAGGGGAGTCTGTGCGCCACAGGGAGTAAAGGTCAGTCCCCCTTTGCCTGGGAGGGCCACATTCTTACAGCCTCTGCCAGTCACCAGGGAGGACAGTGAACTGACCACCATGGTCACTGTGGACACAAAGCATCCCACAGACCCAAGCAATCCCAAATGGGGCTGGGGCTGCCGTTACCCCATTCCCAGGGCCAGGCTCAGGGGAAAAGGATGTCTGCCCATGGGCACAGAGTTGGCAAGTTCAGATGGGATTTGAGGCGGGAAGCCATAGGCCCCTGGAGACCCACAGAGCGGTTGAAAGCTGTTTCTTCCATAGATTCCTTTTTGAATCTGCTTACAACGGCAGCTCTCAGAAGCCATGGGCAGTGAAGGCCCCGGCAGAGGCCACCCAGCGCCCCCCCGCACTTCCCCCCGAGGGAACCCTGTGCATGGGCATGCCCGTGTCCTCAGTGTCTCAGCTGTCCAGTGGGTGGGGACACTCCTGTTCCAGGCCACAGCCCAGGTCGTGGGTGCCAAGGAAGCAGAAAGCTCACCTGAGGGTGCCACAGGGGCCCTATCTTCTGGGTCTTCCCATCGGTCCTGGTAGGAGAACATTTGTGCTTAAGGAAAGGAAGGGTGGGCCATTACCCACCTGAGCCCCGATCTATGATTGTTCCTTCCCAAGGTCGTGACCTAGAGCATATGATACCCATCCCAAGGTCATGACCCAGGGCACATGATGCCCCTCCTCAAGGTCAGGACCCAGGTCACACGATGCCCTTCCTCAAGGTGACTTCCATTCCAGCCATTGAGACTCACCCAGGGGCGGAGCAGGGGGGCACAGGCCTCCTGGACACTGTGGATGAAACCTCTTCCTTTGGACCAGAGCAGGAACCGGCACCTGGAGACCAGACCTGAAGTGTCAGGCCAAGGCTGGGCTGCCACAGACCCACCATCAAGTTCCAGCCCAGTGAGCCTTCATGATTGGCTTTCACCTGCTCCCAAGGCTCTACTATGCCCTGTAGCAGTAGGTCCCACTGGGAAAGCAGGAGTGGATCCCCTGGGAAGATAGCAGTGGATCCCCCCTGGGAAGACAACAGTGGATCCCCTGGAAGACAGTAGTGGGTCCCCTGGAAGACAGCAGTGATCCCCCCTAGGAAGACAGTAGTGGATCCCCTGGGAAGATAGCAGTGGATCCCCCGGGAAGTTAGCAGTGGATCCCCTGGAAGACAGTAGTGGGTCCCCTGGAAGACAGCAGTGATCCCCCCTAGGAAGACAGTAGTGGATCCCCTGGGAAGGCAGCAGTGGATCTCCCCTGAGAAGGCAGCAGTGGGTCCCCTTAGGAAGGCAGCAGTGATCCCCCCCTGGGAAGGCAGCAATGGATCTCCCCTGGGAAGGCAGCAGTGGATCCACCTGGGAAGGCAGCAGAGATCCCCTGGGAAGGCAGCAGTGAATCCCCTGGGAAGATAGCAGTGGATCCCCTGGGAATATAGAAGTGGATCCCCTGGGAAGACAGCAGTAGATCCCCCATGGGAAGAAAGCAGTGGATCTCCTGGGAAGACAACAGTGGATCCCCCTGGGAAGGCAGTGGTCATCCCCACCCTGGGAAGGCAGCAGTGATCCCCCCTGGGAAGACAGCAGTGGGTCCCCTGGGAAGACAGCAGTGGATCCCCGGGAAGGCAGCAGTGGATCTCCTCAGAAAGCAGCATGATTCCCCCTGGGAAGACAACAGTGGATTCCTTGCGAAGGCAGCAGTGGATCCCCTGAGAACATAGCACTAGATCCCCTGGGAAGGCAGCAATGGATCCTCCTGGGAAGATAGGACTAGATCCCCCAGAGAAGGAAGGAGTGGATCCCCTGGGAAGGCAGCAGTGGATCCCCTGGGAAGGCAGCAGTAGGTCCTCCCTGGGAAGGCAGCAGTGGATCTCCCCTGGGAAGGCAGCAGTGATCCCCCCTGAGAAGACAGCAGTGGATCCCCTAGGAAGATAGCAGTGGATCCCTTGGGAAGGCAGCAATGGATCCCCTAGGAAGATAGCACTAGATCCCCCTGGGAAGGCAGCAGTGATCCTCCTGGGAAGGCAGCAGTAGATCCCCTGGGAAAACAGCAGTGGATCCCGTGGGAAGGCAGCAAATGGATGCCCTGGGAAGATAGCACTAGATTCCCCCTGGGAAAACAGCACTAGATCCCCCTGGGAAGGCAGCAATGGATCCCCTGGGAAGATAGCACTAGATCCCCCTGGGAAGGCAGTAGTAGATCCCCCTGGGAAGGCAGCAGTGGATCCCCTGGAAAGATAGCACCAGATCCCCCTGGGAAGATAGAGTGGATCCCCCTGGGAAGGCAGCAGTGGATCCCTCTGGGAAGACAGCAGTGGATCCCCTGGAAAGGCAGCAGTGGATCCCCCTGGGAAGACAGCAGTGGATCCCCTGGAAAGGCAGCAGTGGATCCCTCCTGGGAAGACAATAGTGGATACCCTGGGAAGTTAGCAGTGGATCCCCTGGAAGACAGTAGTGATCCCTCCTGTGAAGACAGCAGTGGATCCCCTGGGAAGACAGCAGTGGATCTCCCCTGGGAAGGCAGCAGTGGGTCCCCTTGGGAAGGCAGCAGTGACTCCCCCCCCCCGGGAAGGCAGCAGTGGATCTCCCCTCGGAAGGCAGCAGTGGATCCCCTTGGGAAGGCAGCAGTGATTCCCCCCTGGGAAGGCAGCAGTGGATCTCCCCTGGGAAGGCAGCAGTGGATCCACCTGGGAAGGCAGCAGTGGATCCCCCTGGGAAGATAGCAGTGGATCCACTTGGAAAGGCAGCAGTGGGTCTCTCTGGGAAGGAAACAGTGGATCCCCCTGGGAAAGCAGCGGTCATCCCCACCCCCGGGCAGGCAGCAGTGATTTCCCCCTGGGAAGACAGAAGTGGGTCCCCTGGGAAGACAGCAGTGGATCCCCCTGGAAAGAGAGCAGTGGATCTCCTGGGAAGGCAGCAATGGATCCTCCTGGGAAGATAGCACTAGATCCCCCTGG